GCCAGGCGTGCAGCATCACAGTTTCTAAAACTGATTCAGCGTTTGAATGTAATTTTTGCAAACGATGGGTGCACTGCCGTTGTGACAAAGAAGTACCGAAAGCATACTATGAGTTTATGAGAAATAACCCATGCCCATGGTTTTGGTACGTGTGTCCACTTTGTCGCCCTGGCATAGTCCCACAAAGCGTGTCTGCGGATAGCAGAAATAACACGCTCTTGTGCCCCAACACAGTATCATGCAGCTCCCCCCTGCTAAACTCGCACTGCCGAAACTGGTCAAAGACTTAAAGAAGGACACACCAGCCCTACTGACTGGAAATGCCAATTCTCACAAGGTGAAGATTAGCAAGGTTCCATCCACATCAGGGGAAGGCAAAATTACAAAGGCACCACTTGCATCCACTAGCAAGCCTGGCAACACAAAAAAGGCTGTCCAGGTACCGATGAAGCCTAATGTTGCTAATGATGCAAAGGACTGCAAGAAGCCGAAGGCAAAACCTAAGTCTGAGGGTAGTCGGTCTAACTCTCTCATCCTCTTTAACGTACCTGTGAGCACGGATAGCTTGCTCGAACAACGGGCCCTGTTTGATCAGGAACAGTGGTCCAACCTGTGCGGCAAACTAGGTCTGAACATTAGTTCAGCAAAACTGTGCAGACTGTACAGGGGTGTCCACACGCCTCAGGGTAAGCCACCCCCATTACGGGTTACACTGGACTCTGCCGAAGAGGCCGAAAAAGTACTGTTAATGGCTCAGGTACTAGCCCTGGACAGAAGTTCTAACATAAGAGCGCGGCAAGATAGACCATGGGCTGTCAGAAATATGGCGAGGGAGTCACCGGAACTGATGCCTTCCACCTCTATGGTGGTACACGGTGTTCCGGAGCTGGAAACCGGCACTGCTTGTGAAAAACACATGCACGACGTACAACAATGGAGATGGCTGTCATCTCAGATGGCCCCTGGCGCTTCTGGAGCCATCTCCATTTTCCGACTACCTCGTCCCGCTCATCTAACATTGATTAACTCTCCAAAGCTGCTGTGTGTCACATTCAACTCCCCGGAGCAGTTGTCCATATCACTTCAACGGTGGTATGAGACCAAGGGAAAAATTGGAGGACACATCCGATGCTGTGAAAGCAGACCCAGAAATATAAGGAGGCAGCAAACTGAGGCTTTAATACGACCCCAAGCTTCGGTGACACTAGAGCGATGCAGCTCTGAGAATAATAGTCTGTGTCTCCCAAGTGTCCTGCCTAAATCCATTGAAAAAAACTACAACGGGCCGGTTCTATCGGAATCGGCCAACTAGTTCCAACATCAAGTCCCCCACCAGCAGACGGTTTCACGTCAACTACCCCACAACACTCTGAGGTTGTTAGACTCACTGTCAGTTGCCTATATAGCAATGTGAGGGGGCTGAGAGGAAAAGTAGGTGAACTCCGAAATCTCCAAGCACACCTTCAACTGAAAATAATCATTCTTACTGAAACGTGGCTAAACCCCACTATCGCCGACAATGAAATCAGTATAGGTGATATGGTACTGGTCAGAAGAGACAGGGATAATAAGGAAGGAGGGGGAGTTGCTATATACTTTGATAGGCAACTTAAATGTGTGCGCGCAACGGACCCACCACTTATCGAACTCCCAGACTCCATATGGTGTCATTTCACCGTAGGCCACACCAAGCACTTACTGGGTGGCATCTACCGATCTCCCACCTGTGGGGCAGAGCACAATCAGCTACTGCTCAGCACTATCACAGGAATACGAGATTTGGGCTACGACCAAATCACCATAGCTGGAGATTTCAATGCTCCATCACTGAACCTCGGCTCCGGGTGTGCTAAGGGAAAATTTGGCCGAAACCTACTGCAAACTATTCGAAACACGGGACTGACTGAGAATGTTGGAGACGACACTAGGTGGGGCCCTAGTGGAAAGTCATCAAAACTAGATTATATTCTAACTAGTGACCAGCTACTCGTCGAAAAGGTCCAGATCATGACTCCTCTGGGAAGCAGTGACCATGCAGTCATAGGTTTCGATCTTGTCCTCCGTGAGCGTTTGCAATGGGATGTTACGCGACCATGTCTGTGCTACAGCAAGGCTGACTATGCTGAAATGCGGAGGCTCTTGTCCGACGCAGACTGGCCCTTAGCATGGGACGACCTATCTGTGGATGAACACTGGGAAGTGGTAAAAAAGATTATCCATGCAGCAATCTCGGATACCGTCCCTTTAGTCACAACACAGCCTAAGAGAAAGACGTCATGGTTGAAGAGAGGCACGCAACGTATTCTGCAAGCAAAGCGGAAGGCTTGGTTTACGTGGCGTGTATCTAAGAGTCAGACCGACCATGATGCATACCTCGAACTCAGGAACCGGTGTAATGCAAGAGTCAGGAGGGACAGAAGGTCATTCCAGGCTAACCTTGCTAAAAAACTCCTATCAAACCCTAAAAACTTGTACCGATTCATGTCGGAAAGAAAACCGACAAACCAAGGGGCATGCGCCTTAGTAGGCCCAAACGGTCAATATCTCACTAGTCTGGAGATGGCTGAAACATTCAGTTCAGCCTTCGCTAAACAGCTAAACAGCAATGTGGATATTACAGTTACGGACCAAAATGGTGGCACCACTATTTCAGAGGAGGAAGACCTAGCGACTACTCCCCAAATAAACCCCGCAATAGTACTAAGGAAGCTACAGCGACTCATACCTGGGAAGTCCCCAGGTTGTGATGACATCAGGCCATCTGTTCTGAAACAGTGCGCCGAGGCTCTCTGTAGACCCCTGTGCGACTTGTTCCAACACTCAATGGATTCGGGGACCCTGCCAAGGGAGTGGAAAAGAGCCATCCTTTCTCCAATCTTCAAGGGTGGGGACAGGCAAAACGCTGCTAGCTATAGACCAGTAGCTCTACTCCCAGTGGTATCAAAAGTACTGGAAAGTATTATTGACGACCACATCAGGGAATATTTCGATAGGACTAATATACTACATGAAGCCCAACATGGTTTCAGAAAAGGCAGATCCTGCGTCACTAACCTACTGTCAGCTTGGGACGACTGGACATCATGCTGGGACTTGAACGTACCAGTCCATGTGGTCTTCCTAGACTTTGAGAAGGCATTTGACACTGTTCACCATGACCTTCTCCTACATAAAATAAGCAAGGCAGGCATAGGTGAGCCACTTCTGTCATGGTTGAAGGACTACCTAGCCGACAGGCAATTTTGCACTAAGGTTAACCGAGTCCGATCATCTTGGCACAGATCGTCATCAGGAGTGTCGCAGGGTTCTATCCTAGGACCACTGATGTTTTTGATTTTCATCAATGATCTACCACGCCGTCTGAGCTGCCCGACTCTCCTGTACGCTGACGACGTAAAAATATGGAGGGCGATAAAGTGTCCGGAGGACTCAGATAGGCTACAGGAAGACCTAAACCTTCTGGAAGACTGGGCGGTGGCCAGTGGCATGACTTTCAACTTGAAAAAGTGCAAAGTAGTGAAGTTGCGCACCTGTAGACTGCAGAATGCAAGTTACACCCTGTGCAATGAAAGCTTGTCCTGCACAACGTCGGAACGCGACTTAGGTCTAGTTCTAACGGAAAAAATGGACACAAGCGTAAATTACACAGGGGATGTAGCGAGGGCATATGCGGTCATACACTTTACGCATAGACAGTTAGGTGCACTCACTCCTGAGCTCTTTCTAATGTTGTACAAAACATACGTCAGGCCACACCTTGAGGTGCATAATATTATTGCACCCCCAATGCTGAGAAGAGATGCCAACCTCTTGGAAAGAGTCCAACGACGGGCAACAAAAGGAGTGGTTGGTCTCCGAAACAAACCATATGATGAAAGGCTGAAGAAATTAGGCCTGTTCACACTTAGTTACCGTCGGCTTAGGGGGGATTTGATTACTGCCTACAAAATAACAAATGACCAGAATCACCCAAACAAAGGTGTTCTGCCATTGAGTAGGTATAGGCTTCCACGTGGAAATCCCAGAAGGATAGCTCACCAGAGGGCAAGGACCCGGGTGCGCTCCCACTTCTTTTCACTGCGGGTTTGTCGTCCCTGGAATTCCTTACCGGCAGATGTAGCTATGGCACCGTCTTTGGACGCCTTTAAGCGAAGGCTGGACAACCATGCAGCGATACAAGGACTGCATCCAAATGGCCTATCTCCTTAAAATCGCATTTACCAATCAGGGTAGATAATTAAACTCGTCATTTTACTTCTTTACATTCTCTCCCGTCTTACTCTCCTGACAACTTATTAATATTATAATTACTATTATTATTATTATTACTATTACCGATATATATATTATTCTTCAAACTTAATGAGCTGACTGTTGTTACGTTTCCTATTTTCGTTTCTGTCTCTTAGTCTGAATAGCTTCACTAATTATATCTATTATTATTACTATCTCTTTTCTCTTGTCGACAATACCGAAGGACTAACTGGCGAAAGGATCAACTCCAATCACAGTAGTAACAGTCTTAACATACCTCATACTACAAACCACATATAATTAATCCCAGCACTACTCCCTTTGGAGTCAACCAAAGCTACGACAGTCGAGTGGCGGGACAAGCTACGCAGAAGTTTACCGAAGATCAGGAACCTATACCTCACAATCAAGGGGCGAGCACAAAGAAATCAAATTGGTAAAAACGATATTGGATATTGGAGTAGAGTGATGGAATTTTTTGGCAGCCTGCGTTTTAAGCAGACTGCCATCTTCTGAAAGAAGATAATACTTATCACATCTGCAAAATGTGTATACATTTATATTAACATGATCCCTTAAGCTGAATTATATAGTGTCAATCTGGTTTTAAAGCCCGCCTCAATCATGCATGCTACATACATTTCAGCATTTATGCAAACGAAGATCCACCAATCACGATGTGCTGAAGTGACCTTGAAGTGCTCAGCCTCTCCAGGAAATAGTGTGAGCTATCCGTTGTCTGCAAGATGCCAGGTGATCGTTTCGAGTTTGACGAGAGTGGAGACACCTTCCTATGCTTCCTGACGGCATTTTATACACTGATTCTTATCCCTCTAACTTACCTTTGTTGGCCTTCATTTGATTTCAAAGGTTCTTCTTAGTTTTAACCGATAAGTTTGTAGATTCTTATGAACAAATTAAACGAAAATGTATGTGCCAACCATGCCAGGTCAAAAGGCATCACTTGAAGTCATCTACTCCTTTAAAAAGACTAAAGAAAGTTATAATGTAGGGTTGAATTATCCATAGTTGTTTTTTTGTTTAGAAAAGCTGCTTTCGTTGCGGGTTGGGGAATATTCTTTCTACTTGTCTACAAGCTTACGTTGATTGAACCTGATAATTCTGTATTTGACCCTTTTTCCGTTCTAGGGATCAGCAGGGTAAAGAAATGTTGATTATTTATTTGTTTCACAGGATGCCTCAGCCAAAGACATTCGGAGCGCGTACAAGAAGTTATCTGTGCTGAACCATCCTGACAAAGGTGGAGATCCTAAACGTTTCATACAGATTTCTAAGGCATATACAGCGTAAGTCTTGGTTGTTTTGTACATGCTTAATTTTGTTAAACCAGTTGTTCTCAGGGTAGCATTTAAAAACAAGTGTAGACCATGCCTTTTCAGGTCCTCTCATGTGCCACTATTAAAGACAGGAGCAAATGGTTATGTTATAAATTACTTGTTTTCCACAAATTAACTGTGTACTACTGTAAATTGAGTTCACTGAAACAGTCACATTTTAATTCTCGTCAAAGTACAGAAGGACTACCAGGAATATTTTGCAGTGTGAAAGATATGGGTTTTACTTGTGACTTTTGTCCTCGCTTTCGCTCTTTATGTAACTCCCGCTTTCCCTTGGCCACGGCTAACATTGTTTCTCTTTGCACCTGTATTAACTCATCAGGTACCCATCCTCACATATGTTGTTTAGTGTGAATCGTAGAAGGAAGTCTGATTAATTGGTGCGGTCTTATAATTCTTGGTCGCACATACATCTAAGTGCTAAATCCATCAAAAATAGCAAGTCTGATGCATTAATGAGTGTGTGCCAATTGTGTCTTCACCATTCCGTAGGTTCTAGAACATATACTGGCTCACGCTGTGTTTCTTAACATGTAGGTGACGGTCGAGTTTGTCGATAAAAAAATGTCTTGTCAATTAAGGCACCCTGCTCAGACTCAGGCACCTGCTTAGAAGCTTACAGAAAACAGTTTGAAGATTTATAGTGCTGATCGTGGATTTTTAATATCGCCTTTATTTATTGCAACTTTAAGTACACTGAATTAACGCATCCTTAGTTGACTTGCTAATAAGAAGTGTCGGTTAACACAGAGTACTCAGACTGTTTAGATTTTTGGGGAAAACCACTAGCATCCTAAGAGAAAATCTGTATGTTTCGTATCTGCTCTCGCTTTTCAAATCCTAGTTTAGACACGGTTAATAACGTGATGGTATTGATAAATTCATGTCCTTCATACTAGATCGTTTTTCGAAAAAGATCTACACACAAAGGGCTCGTTTTTTATGTATGTCAACTTGCGTTACTTTCAATACTGACGACATTCAGCTACCGTTCAGAGCCCAAAAGTCCTGTGTAATCTACTTTGTGATTGTAAACATTCCTACCGGTAGTATTTTAGGCATCTGATCACAAATACCTTCGTTCAGTTGTTCAAATCAATTATTGTGAGAGAATAAAAAAGTGCTGAGGTTGTGCTTGGTGTTAAGTGGGGAAAGTGAGTCACTCAATGAGATATTCACGAGCTGAGGTAGGGATACGATAGTTATACCTAATCACAGCCTTCGGAATTCCATTTTGGCTGGAGTTTGATTTTGTTTGGATAACAGTCGGGGCTTGTCAATCAATAACCAATACATGAAGTCACTGGCTGTCAGCCCAGGCAAAATATTGAACGTAAGTGCTGAACACCAGTGATTAGGGAATTTAAGTAAGGTTATTTAAAATTATTCACAACAGTGCAGAGGAACTTCGGAGCGTCCCAATTAATCCTTCCTAAATTATGGGTCTCACAGTCGTCACATTGCATATTTGTACTCTACTTGTTTCGTTAGTGTTCTGTAGCTTGTAAACTTAATTTGATTCACACGCATTGTTCCACCTTAATCTGTTAATTGGTCACTGCTATCATGCTAAAAAATTGTTGGTTTTATGTTTTAAAAAGTTCATTTCCAAACGGTATTCGCTAAATGTACTACTCACAGTCCTAAAGTATTTCTCCGTATTGTTTTTTGTTTTCTGACTGATGAATTAGTTTAAAGAGGATTATAGTTATTTTTACAGAGTGGTAGTGCGTGTCACTTGAAAGATGTAAATCACTATCCCCCTTTGGAAGATTATCAGTTTTTTAAGTTGAATGTCAATGAAAAAAAATGACTGAAATACGAATTCACTATGCTGCCGTTTGTAGTACCTTACTAATGTGCTTATTCTTAAATAAAGTTGGAATGACAAATGCATATGAAGACTGTTGCACGTAGTGTATCATAAGAATCTAGTTAGTGGTCACAGGTGATTTTCCTCTCACAGTTGTCAACAAATTATGACTTTTTAGAAGAGAGCTAACCAGCCACTATTAAAAGTCGAAGAGTCTATTGTGTGAGAAATCCCCCATCATATTCCTTAAGTCTTGAACACTTTTAGTACCAGATATGATGGATAAGTCTTTAGAATGGACAGTCACTAGAGTTGTTTGAAAATGCAATACAAGACGCTTCCAAGGGAGACTCTAATAATGATGAAAGGGAATTTCACGCGTGTCCCTTGAACTTTCTAAAAGATGCATGAAAGAACAAGGATAGTAAAAAGACTTAACAGCACATCTATTGACTACTATTGACAAAAATTGGAATCAGAGACTTTTTGTACAGAGCTTTGAGACTTAAAGTTGGTGAATGATTAGTGTCTGCATCTGGTGTGAATTAGATTACTAGACTATTTGTATTAATTCTGTAGGTCTTTTGAAGTCAACAATAGGTGAAGCCATTCGTCATCTGAAAAATCAAGTTTCTTCGTCTAAATCACTTCAGCATCTTTTGAAAGATTGTTTATTTGTTTGTGATTACAATTTTAGTAGCTGGACTTGTTAAGTATGACTGCTTTCCTTCCAGATGAAGTTCTTTATCCGTTCTCTATTTATATTTTTTACTTTGATCTGTTGTTCTGTTATTATTGTATGGCGCACCCTTCTTGGTGCTATATTGTACCAAGTTTTTTCTGCGTTTAAATAAATAAAGTAGTTGAAAAGTTTAGCAGTGTAGTCTGGCCAATCACAATGGACTAGGACATTTATCTTTATTCGTGTGTGCTAGAAACAAATTTTTGTAACTTATGAAATCATGTAACTATTCTTTTTTGTTCCAATAAAAACTGTTGTCCTGCAGTTTTATCACAATTCAAAACAATAAAGGTGAACTGTCCAAATTTGTTTCTGGGTGAACGCAAGAATTCCATTTAGTCACTTGTTAAAAGTCCCAAACTTTACTTTTTTACCGAAATATTAGGGATTTAAAATGTCAAGAACATGATCTGGAAATGTTCGCTACATTCACTTAGATGAAGGTCAGTGAAGTAGTCATACAATTAAGTGTGGCGACTTGAACTGCCGCACATATGTGCAAAGTACTTTGTCGAAAACAGACAGAACAACAGAAGTGAATATTTCCCAGTTTTCCTGGCATAAAGATTTAAAAATCATTTTGGTATTTCTCATCATCTTGAAACTGACATCTTTTATTTGATTTTTTAAAAAATGTGTCGATTTACTGGGTTATTCGTGTAACTCCAATATCCTCTTTGTTTACAAACAATCAACTTTTTGCTTCACTACGTAGTACCTAAACCAACAGCAAATCAAGTGAATGTCATTTCCACGCAGCTCATTGGCTAAAGCATTTGGCTTTCAGCTAGTGGGTAAGAGGTCGAAGTGTCGATCCCCCTACTTCATCCTGGGCAACTGACAGTATTACCAACCCTCAAGTAATATGTATGGCTTACGGCGTAATACCTGAAAAGTTTGACCTATGCAACTAAGTTCTAACTAAACTGAAACCTTCCATATATTTCTTTTCAGTCAGTGTTTAGGTCTTCTACGTAATTAATTCAACTGATTCGTGTCTTTATTCGAACAAGTGCATATAAAGTTATCTCTTAAAAAAAATCAAATCTCAAGACAATATGCCATATTTTTTTTTTTTGTACAAAGTTTGACTAATGAAGAATCACGGAAAAATTGGGAAGAATATGGTAATCCTGATGGACCTGGTGGTAAGTCACACCAAGTTTGAAGTGTGCATATTGTCTAAGTTTCTTAATGTCAGAGTGAAGACAACTACCAATTACCGAAAATTGGAGAGCGGATTATTTTGAAACACCAGCGTTCAAGAAATGATGCAAATTATTAGTTAAATATTAAATAAATGTGAATAAAACAAGAAATAGTTTTGACTTCATTTAATTACTTATTCATTGTGAATGGCTTATGTTCTTGATGACTTACTGGAAAATTTAACCTCGGATTGTTATCAGTTAGAGAACCATTGAAAACCAGCGTGTACTGGATAGCTACTTCGTGCTAGTTTAGGAATCATGAGCGCCCACTGGGGTCCAATTTTAAATTTGATTTTAAATTTTTTAATATCCATTTTTTGATGAACATGATGTATATTTGGGTTAAGCATCCACATTCACATGAGGGTCTATTTTCTTAGCGTCTTCAGTGTGAACAAACAATTTTGAGATGTAACTGACTGAATGCATATTCGCCTTTCAGTCGACGAATCACAGATACAAAGGACTCTTCACCTATCGAATTTGGATATGACAATAATGGGACTAAATAGTGGCTAGGGATCGGGCTCCAAACCTTAATTGTTGATATCTGTATATGATGGTGCTAAGGTGCTCACTTATAAATCCAAAGGTTTTTGTACTCTCCAACACTAAAATGCGTGTGATTTGAAAATTCAATATGAAGTCAGTTTGTCGGGTTTCTAATATTTCCTACTCTCCAGAAATTTTAGTGAAAGGTTTTTAGTTTGTTGCTTTAATACCGATTGATGACAATACGTGAAAGTTGTTAATTATGATAAGTGTGATATTTGTTTCAGTTTTAAGTACTAAAGTTGAGTCAAATTCCTTATTCATCTATCCTAATAGTTTTCTCATGAGAAACAGGAAGACGAAAAAGCAGTACACCACCTACACAGAAAACGTAGCTTAAATTACCAGAAATCCAGTTATGTACAGATATACTTGCGTGCAAGGATGGCTTGATTAATTATGAATCAGGTTAAGGATTGTTCTGTTTCTCAACCTGTGAAATACAACTCATCTACCTGGTAGAGACTTTTCAAACGATCTACACTATCTAGTTGTTTGAACGGAGATGGGTGGTAAACTTTACTTATGTTACTGTTATTTATTCAGTTTAATACTAAAGAGTAATTATATATATAATACAAATAACTGTTTTTCAATCCTCCCTACCCTTTATCATGTTAAATGTTTTATAATATACCATAGGGTATATAAATATGTGCTTAGGAAAATTAATTATTATAACTCATGTTTTTATTAATCTGTTTCTTTTCTACACATATATAGCTGCACATTTTGGAATAGCATTACCCAAATGGATGGTTCAGAAAGAAAATTTCTATCTGGTATGTGGTACAATTCATTTCATAAAACCTAAGTAAATAATAAAAGTATAATACTTGGGCACTGAGGTAGAGTATAACTCCATTATAGATAAGATTCTCTTTTGATAAATCACACAGTGTTGTACAGTAATATTAACTGATGACGTTTGGAGCACAAATTATTGCTCATAATCGTCCCAGGTGTGAGTGATTTGATATGGATTGTGGATTTCATTGACTGATGAAGCCATGTTTTGGTTTGACCCCACCACTAGCTCTTTTCCAACCTGATCCATCCTATGTCAGTCAGCCAACATTGCTCGTCGGTCGAGGAAGGCGATGGTTAGAGATGCATTCGTAACACATGTGCTAACCACCTCAATCAGTGTGGCTTCACAATATTGTGGATTGATTCCCCCTCGTCGCCTGGCACTCGACCGAAGCCTAACCTCAATATTACTCTCGTGGAATTACTTTACTCCCTTATGCTACACTGTTTTTGCTGTAAACTGAAGCAAACTTAAGATACATACAGAAAGGAAGAATATTTCACATTGCATTAAGATGTGAGATTCCAAGTCCTCAAGACCCAGAATGCGCAAATACTATCAGTTGCAAGGGAATAAGCTCTCGAATATGTCAATTACATAAATTTTTCAATACCCCACCGACTGACTGATTTTCAACGGAAAACTTTGCATTGAATAGTAGCAGTTCAAGTTACTACACCATGTAGCATACAGAGGTAGAAAAAAATTCGAAGACATTGTAATAAGCGGAAATGTACGGGAGAAAGAGTGCTAACATGGATTTAGAGAATCCGTGTGATTACAAAAACGATTGCATGAGTCATTGGAAATGCTTTTCAGCCATATCACCAGCAGTCTCAAGCCATTGGTTCTTAGCATATCTAGCACTACAACCAGGCAGTTTATAGCTACCTACATGGCCAACTGTCAAAAACTTCATATATTGATTCCAATTTATGATGTAACCACCTCCAACCTTTTTTCCATCCTAATGTTATGTCAGCTAACATCGCTCGAAGAGAAATTCTGTGCCTCCGTATGAACAACCCGTGTCAATGGCACCTCAGTCGATGTATTCACATAACCTTAAGCCGGATTCTGTAATTGTCAAATTTAAATCAATGCTCTCCATCAAATCACCGAAAAAAAATACCCATTGAGTGGTCAGAAATAATTCAGCGACAAAAATTTTCTTTATCGGCGAAATCGTCTTCAGATCCTGTACAGTCGTATTTATACTTACCAGAAATGTATAGTACTCTATTATTGAGTAATAGTAATTGGTGTAATTACTCAGGATTGGCTTTAGAAGTAAAAATAAAAATTGTAAATTACGTAGTACTTAACGGCACAAAGGAAGAAAGGGTTGGCAATTTGATAAGGTTAAAATTGTTATTGAGTGAGAATAAGGGTAGTTGAGTGTCACTTAACAAGTGTAAAAAGGGGGAGAAAATACACAAAAGGAACATACGAGAGTAATAATAGTGAATTAACTATTAAAGTAAAAGCAAACTAAAAGTAAAAGTGAAAATTAAGAAATCAACTTTTCACAGGGAACGACTGGTGAAAGAGGTTAAGGCCTTAGTAGAATAAGAGACTGGACGAACTTTTTCTGTATACAGAGTTCGTGGTTAATATAAGAATAAAACTTGTGCACTGTGGTAGAGTGTAATTCCATTATGGGTAAATTTTGTTTTGATAAAGTCTCACAGTGTTATACAGTAATGTTTACTGATGACGTTTCGAGCACAATTTATTGCTCATAATCATATCAAGGTGATATGTTTATGAGCAATAAATTGTGCTCGAAACGTCATCAGTAAACATTACTGTATAACACTGTGAGACTTTATCAAAACAAAATTTACCCATAATGGAATTAGAGTTCGGGGTTGTATTGGGAAATAGGCAACGTCTCTGCGACACAAAAATGCCGAAACCTAACGCCCTTCACACCAGTTGACCTCACCTTGTAGATAATCTTGAAAGACGACTCTGGTGGAGCTACGTGGCTTGAGTTCATCAAGTGTCCGAGAATTGAGCTAGTAATTGTCTTACATTGTCCTTTTGCTAACCATGAGAGATAATGTTCAGAGATTCGTTTGGAAAGTGCGCGCTTTGTATTTCCAATATGATTAGCTCCACAGGAGTAGGTGAATTTTTAAACACATTGAAGTGGCCCACAGCGGCAGTTTATCCTTCACACTTCCATTGATCATTTGTCGGCTTTAGAAATAGATCCATAGCTCAGCCGCAAAGAGGACTTTCCTCAGTGATCTGCATAAGCGATTCTTCAGGATCTCAGCTGCGGTATCACCTTTAAATTCAACACTCATGAATAGCAGTTTCTTCGGCACCTCCTGGGTTCTTTCAGGCTTTTGCTTTAACTTCATGTTTTTCTCGTTGAATCTTGGGGGATATCTATTTCCATGAGGACTTGTCTGAGTCGCTCCAGTTTCCCGTCGATTGTATCACTGGAACATATCCTTCTTATTCTTGAGGCTAAGGAGTGAATTAGGTTTCTCTTTCTTCTCAAAGGGACCCAATTGTGAAAATTCGTTTATGTATGTATATATACACGTAATTTCTTCATATTTCAGTTTTTTCCCATTATGCCTTGTCTTTTGTTATTTACAAATATATGTTTGCTACATTACTCGTTGTATTTCTTTTTGAAATGATGGATAGTGTTTCCTTTTTATTTTATCCTCTATACCTAGGTGATCGGGGCTTATGTTCTGTTGTTCATGATGATATTACCAATTTCAGTGGTACGTTATAATTTCCCTTCATTGGCTGTTTTTGTGCGGAGACTTTACAAAATAATATTCTTTTGCAAATTCACTTTTCTGTTAAATATGTTTCATAGATAATAGGTAGTCAGCTGGAATTACAGTTTTTCACGCTTTTGAAAAATTTATATGGTGAAAAGTCACGAAAAGCAGTCAAAGAAAGTATACGTGTTAAGGATTTCTCGACGTAATTACAAAATAAGTTGTGGGCTTTTTCATACATTTGCTTCAATTTAAGTACAGCGGAGATATTCAATTGTGCCGCACAGCACTAAGCACTCGCCTATTGTATAGCTCTGAAATACTGAAAACCCGTAGAAGTTTCATGGATGTGATCACTGTTATCAACCTAATATTCCTATAATTATAATAGTCTCACTAAATGAACATGCTAAACACAAAGTATAGTCCTTGGTTAAAAGCTGAAATTTCTAAGTTCAGGTGATTGCAACAAACTTTGTTAACGCCTAGACACTATCTATCTGAATTTGTAATACTAACGGATACATGATTAGTTTAGATGAAAGATGAAGATAGTCGAAACAATAATTTGAACCTTTTCCTTTAAATTGTTTGCTGCTTTTCGGAGAAGTTGACGGTTGTTTCTATGTGGTATCCACCGAAAACCGAAAGTGTTAGAGAAGAACTTTTGTTCCTGGGAAATGTCTTGGATTCTTTGAGCTTCAATATTTGATCGACGACGTTTCATCCTTACACTGTGTCTATCAACAGTGCATACTCAAATTTGTATTCACATCGCTGAAGAGTTTAAGACTAGTATAAAATAGTCGTTCAATGCTTATCGTAATAAATCAATTCATCATCACTTCCCGCAGAATATATAGCAATACTTTAACGTTGGCCAAAAAAAACAGGATCAACTATCACTGGTTCTTCTGAAGAACAATGACTGTTGCATTCAGGAAATATTTTGGTAATAACTATTTATATGGTCGAAATAATCGTTAATATACTTGTACAAAGAAATAGGAAAGTTATATCTTCTGTGCTAAGTACTTGCCCCTTTTTATTTATTGAGAAAATTGTATCTTTGGTCAGTTTTTATTAATGTAAGTTTTGATCTTTACTGGGATTATATGTTTGTTGGGGTCGCTGTTGCTTAATTTCATGCACATTTTTACTTCGGCTGTGAAAGAGATTTACAATTATCACTAGTGGTAATATTATCCCTCTCATTATACTATACCTGACATCATATCTGTTTTATGTTGTTATCAATTGCATTCTAATACCGCAGATTTCTCTGACACCTGCATAGTCATTTTGTTTCGTTAGAAGCATTCATTTGATTAAAACACAAACTTGGTACATTATAGACACAGAGAGATGCACTACACAAATCTCATGGTTTGGGCAAAGGCTGAGATATTGGCCAAACGCTCAGAACAAAGCAGGTGGTTGACTTAGGAAGTCAATTATGAGTATCTGAATTGAAGTGTGATCCACAAGATAGTGGAGCAGCGTCAGGAGCTACGTTCACATGGTTGACGGTGAGGAAAGCGGGTCCATATACCACCGCCATTCGATGTGTTTGTATTCGTCAGCCGATGTGTAAGATAAGTTTGAAATCACGGTTTTCTAGCTCCATTAGGGTGACCAACATGTCGACAAAGGCTATGAACGCGTGGTCACATGAGAGGATTTCAAGAGGAGGACTGAATTTTACCCATCCTTGGTCATATCACGTCGTTTACACGCGGCTTTATTAAATGTATTTGGAATATTTAGTAATGTACGTACATTTATTGATGCACAACATATTGACGATAAAGCACAGTAGTGTTCTGTGTACCAGAAACAATCGTAAACTTTTCCATAGTACCCAGTTTATTTGATGGGAATAAAAGGAATTTGCACGTTTAGAGGCACTCCTTGATTAGTCTTAGTTCTCATGATGTGAGTTACACGGGTCTCAACAAATAAAAAACTGCATGAATTTTTTGAATCACCCTCTCTCCTGATAAGTACTGTTAGTTAAAAGTAGTGCCCAGTTGCATCATGACACTTGTAATGACCAGGTCAAAACAACCTCAATTTATAAAGGCGTTAACTATGAGTTTAACCATGGTAAAGTGATGTAAACATGGTTGAGGCTTCACAAACAAGTCAAATAGACATTGTTTCGCAATGATGTGAATGTATTCGTGCTCTACCTCCATCTGTTTCTCTTCCTTTTCATTGTTTCTACTGGCTTTTTTTGACTTACGCGTTGTAAAGACTACTCATATCACTATTTCTGTGTTTTGTCACCTCCAGTTTTGTTAACTTCCGCTCAAGTGTAATGTGTAACGACGTAAACCCTAATGCAATCGGCGTTGTATGTCTGTAACTTCAACTACTAATGTCTACTTATTTTCTGGTAACTTTTCAGGAATTTAAAATAACTTCAGTGTTTATTAATCAGCTCTTTTGTAATATTTATTTCCAAGTTGTTCTGCGCGTGTAAAATAAGAATTGTTAGAAAAGTGTAGACAAATGAACTTCCATATCTCCTCGTGTGTCATCGATTTTAATTTTAGCACACTATTATTATAATTTTGAGCTCTCTCACAGATGAACTTTAAATTATAACGTAGTAATCTATACAAATACCCTAATTACTTATATTCATTTCTCATGCCAGACATTTTCTACTTAATCAACTGTTTTTTGTATCCTTTTTTTGTCGTCGTTTATATTCGTTTAGGGTACTTGGTGGTATAACACAATGAGATTTAGCAATAACAACGTTCTCTTAGATACAATAAGGTACTTTTGTGGAACATTCATGCGTTCACCTTATATGGCTACGCCTAGGATAATTAAAGTTCTGTCGAATGCGTGTGAGTTCAATCCAAATTTTAATAAAGAAATAGCCTGTCGACCGAGTGATAATATTGAACTACCTCCAGTAAGTTATTTATTTCTTATAAATTATACAAATAAAGCTTCTTTACTTTTCCAATCACCCTATATAAAATGTTTTTTTAAATACAATCATGTGATGTCGGTATATATAACAAAATGACCGATAGGGAACATTGGAGATAGAGCTTCAGAGGGTAGCCAATCACAATGAATGTAACTGGGAAAGTTGGTTATTTGCAATTAGTAGAGTTCTCTGAGCTGGTTGGTTTAGTTGCAGAGCTTTCATTTTCAGAAAATTCCAGTGTTTCACCTCTTTGAATTGACTGTTGATGACATTGTCTAGGACGGCAGTGAAAGCTTTACAAATAGCCTAAATCACCCAGCTCTAAATTTAACAGTGGAATGGCATTCTAGTCCTTGACGTACAAATCTCTGTTCCAAAATGTTGTCAACAACTGTGTATTGAGAAATTTGATATTTCAGTGAATATATCGCATGGAAAACCGTTCCAAAGATGGAATTATGCCGCACATGAGAATATTTCATAAAATCATATTTCTCCCTCTAAGTTTTAATGTGTAATGGTCGAAGTTGTCATTGATGCAAATGGAGTGTCTCGTTATATGTGACCTCCTTTAGTCATAATTTTTTACTAGGCTATGCAAATCCTTCTCCGATAGATTGATGTTAGTGTAAAGTGTTTATCTCAAAATTTTAGTCTGGTTCGCCCCCAGAGAATAATCTCGTTGGTTTAGAATATAAGGATGATACAGTCCTTCTAGGTGAAGACACTGACAAAATGCAGAGTCTTCTGAACACCTTGAGCTGCGATCGTCGAATGTTTGGCATGCGATTCGCTCCTGTCAAAGGTAAGATAATTCTGCAGGAGTGGACTAGACTACATTGACTCTCAGCTTAAAAGTAGAGAGTGAAGTGGTTAGTGGAGCGTGTCGACAACCTCACTTATTTGAGAAGTTGCATCAACCAACGCCAGCGAGTTGATCGCTGATGAAGTCTCAACACGGATACAGGAGGCTCGTTTGGAATACGCCAACTTACGCCATCTCTGGCTTAGTAGACGCGATATCCGGCTGGCTGTCGACCAAAGGCCATGCGTACTGCTCACCATTTCGTTCCATCCTCCTTTATGACTGTTGATTTCCAATGGAAGATAAGAAAAGGCTAGCTGTCTTTGAACATAGGTGTTCGATCTGCGTCCGATCTCCCGTGTTAGATGGTGGTATAACACAGTGAGCAATATTGAGGTTAGGCTTCAGTCGAGTGCCAGGCGACGAGGGGGAATCAATCCACAATATTGTGAAGCCACACTGATTGAGGTGGTTAGCACATGTGTTACGAATGCATCTCTAACCATCGCCTTCCTCGACCGACGAGCAATGTTGGCTGACTGACATAGGATGGATCAGGTTGGAAAAGAGCTAGTGGTGGGGTCAAACCAAAACATGGCTTCATCAGTCAATGAAATCCACAACAGTTAGTTTGAGCCAGCCACAGAGGGAGGTGTAGACTTCTGTCTGGGTAGGGTCTTCGGGACGGTATAAACCAATGAAGACTGGAGACAATCGGTGATATGGCTAGCCAAAAATCGTTCTCAATGGCTGGCGCAAATGCATTCGCTTCTTGTGAAGTTTAATACCCAGTGAAGCTATATTGTTCTTCGTTATTACTATTCCATTCCATTCATATCCTTGTTTGCTGTTTCTGTTTTGCATTTCTTTTACTTTCTTCTCTCACTTTGTATGCTACATAGATTGTGGCGACTTGAACTGCTGCATATCTGTGCAAAGTTCTGTGTTGAAAATAGTCAGTCGGACCTATGCCCCAGTTGTAATTCGCCTTGATCTAGTTTGGACGTAATGTAAGTAGGCAGGTGGTAGAATAATTATTTACACGTCAGTTACATATTTGATTGCAGAATTCAGTCAATGGTGGTGGGAAGTATAATGGTTGCTTGCACGAAGCTTTACTGCATTCTAGGTATTCATTTAACTTTGATGACTATCCCCTTACTCAAGTTTATGCATTCATTAATGACTATGCACGTAACTATATGAGACAACACTTTCATAAACAGAATCCAGTCTTTTAGAAGTGACTAAAATCAACCCATTGGAAGTTATTTTCATTGTTTCCAACATATTTTCTAAAAACAGAGGTCAGCAAAGAGATATCTTTTCGCAAATTCATATCTGTTCAGTTATTTAGTGGGTTTATATGCGCATTGTGAAATGACGACAAAGGTCAGAAGTTATGTTTAGTTTGTACCAAAATAAGTCAAAGTTTAATGAGTAGTGATGTTTGAAAAATGGTGGATAAGCTTTCGCAACGCGGAAGGTTGACAACTAATTAGTCAGTTGGTGAATAATCATTTGATAATAATTGACAGGATTGAAAGAGGGTTACAGAAGTAAAAGAAAGATCAGAAGATTACACAGTTTATCATGCAACTCTTTAGGGAAATAAAAATTGACACTGAAGCCACGGTAGTAAAAGAGGCGCGAAGTGCAGGTTTTTTCTTATGGATTGTTGAATCTTTCAAAAAAACCTTCAGAATTAGATTAATCTGCATTTCCCGTCGATTAGTTATGTAGGACCAAAATGCTTGGTCTCTGTTGAAATTTCGGTTCCTAGAACTGATGCTTTGCCTTCTGAAACAATGGCTGGACACTCATTAAGAATACTGGTACATCTGTCTAATGAGCTCCAAATAGGACGAAATGCTCATCTTGGATTCCACTACCAGTCACCATCAACTGATGTAAAATATTCGCAATGTTGAGTTGTTACCGGAATACTCTTATTTTAGTTATCTTAATTCTAATGAACTTAGGTTTTTTCGAAATTAGGAATAACGTCTGTCAAACCATATATATATATATATATATATACCTCGTCCAGAAATACCTCCAACAGACAGAAAACTGCTAGTGAACACCAATCCTCCAAAAGAAGTAATTCTTCCAGGAGTACCAAAAACGGATCCAAAACTTCAGTGGATTTTGTCACACCACTTTCATGAAGTGAGAAGGATGAAAACTACCAAAGAAGGATGACTTAGGTCTTTACAAAAACTGGAGCGTAATCGTGCTCATGTCCGTACCAAGCAAAATATCAAGTCATGACCTTCTTGAGAAACTAAGAGATGCACTGGATGCGGAACTCCACCCGGAACAAACTCTTTTCAGGAAAAATAAATCATATGTGGATCAGAATGCAATTCTACGCATCATCGTCGACCAGAGCACAGAATGGTAATCCAATTTCTCATCTGAAATAAATCGACTTTGAAAAGGCGTTCGATAATAGTGACCGCAAAGTATATATATATATATTTATATAATATCTTTAGTATTCTTTCCTCTGCATATAGATACCTGTGAGAAAATGGTGAGATTGTATATAGTATGACGCGCAACTAAATCTTCAGGAGGAGTATTGATCTCATGACGTCTTCATTGTTAGATTTGACGTGTTAAAACGTGAAAGTTTATTCATCTTATGATTCCGAATTATTCGTACTAAAAGCCTTGGGGAGACTTAAACAACTCAAAACTGTCACTCTTACACTCCGTCTACTGATCAAAACGAATTTTAACTACGGAAACAGAATAACTTTCTACTAAATGACGTAACCAGATATTGTAGTTGTTGAATTCACCGGATGCTAGAATAATGACAATATCACGCTTACTAAGACTCAGACAGCATGCAAAATACAACCATCTTTCCCTCCCACTTTTCGGTATCTCCTTTTTCACTAAGTGAAGGAAAACGCCAGAGCTATTGTGTAACTGAAAAAGTGATTTTCACTCTACAGAGAAATACATTGCATAGATAAACTATTCATGTGTTAAGGTATACAAGAGAATCTATTTAACAAAAGAATGACATTTTATCTTTACGACTACCTGTAGATTTTATCTTCATCAAGTTAAGATTTTTCATCCTTCTTGAACCTGTGTTAAAAGCATTAAAAATTGCGTACAAGCACTTGCATACTTCATAATTGAATTGGATTAGTTTTTATGTGTAGACTAAAAATGCACTCCTGTGTTTTCCTAATTATGATATAAGCGTTTTGAAGCCTACATCACAAAAAGTGGTCTTAACTATTTATTAATTAAATATTTCTTTTTTTCAGTTAATCATGCAGATACCATTTTTCACCATATTTAAAAAAGCTATTGTCGGTTCACCGTATTCAGTGAAAGCTAGGGCATTGATTTATGCACACCTAGAGCGGTTAGAACTCCCGGCTAAAACCTTACATGTTGGTAAGTCTTCGCATTTTGCTTAATATCGCCTTTCTTTCAAAATATTCATACATCCATTACTTTTTTCTCTTATTATTTAGTTTTATTCATGTTTACGTATGATAAAAATGCTACTAAATAAGTGTGTTTCTATTTATCGTCTTTCTACCTTCTAAAAAGTACAACATTGCTACCGTTAATGCTTGCTAGATTAGAGTATTGAGCTGATTGACTAACCTGTTTAATTGCCACATATGGAGTGTGCGCTGTTGTGTGAAGTGTCCTAATACCAAATTATTGACACAACAACATATGGTCGCACCATTAAGCAAGTTAACAATAACAAGAACACCAAAAACAACATTTTCTTCAGCTCACTGCTTGTATAAACTTAGATAGATGCTGACTAATTGACTGAATAGTTTCAACATAGAACTTTGCAGAGATGTACAGCAGTTCGAGTTCCCACACTTCATGTAGCACACAAAGCAAGAGAAGACGGTAAGAGGAGACTCAAAAGTCAGATAATAAGCAGAAGTGTGAGGGGGAAAACAATAGAGTTTTATTGGATATGATTAATCACGAGAAGCGAATGCATTTGCGCCAGCCATTGAGAACGATTTTTGGCTAGCCATATCACCGATTGTCTCCAGTCTTCATTGGTTTATACCGTCCCGAAGACCCTACCCAGACAGAAGTCTACACCTCCCTCTGTGGCTGGCTCAAACTAACTGTTGTGGATTTCATTGACTGATGAAGCCATGTTTTGGTTTGACCCCACCACTAGCTCTTTTCCAACCTGATCCATCCTATGTCAGTCAGCCAACATTGCTCGTCGGTCGAGGAAGGCGATGGTTAGAGATGCATTCGTAACACATGTGCTAACCACCTCAATCAGTGTGGCTTCACAATATTGTGGATTGATTCCCCCTCGTCGCCTGGCACTCGACTGAAGCCTAACCTCAATATTGCTCACTGTGTTATACCACCATCTAACACGGGAGATCGGACGCAGATCGAACACCTATGTTCAAAGACAGCTAGCCTTTTCTTATCTTCCATTGGAAATCAACAGTCATAAAGGAGGATGGAACGAAATGGTGAGCAGTACGCATGGCCTTTGGTCGACAGCCAGCCGGATATCGCGTCTACTAAGCCAGAGATGGCGTAAGTTGGCGTATTCCAAACGAGCCTCCTGTATCCGTGTTGAGACTTCATCAGCGATCAACTCGCTGGCGTTGGTTGATGCAACTTCTCAAATAAGTGAGGTTGTCGACACGCTCCACTAACCACTTCACTCTCTACTTTTAAGCTGAGAGTCAATGTAGTCTAGTCCACTCCTGCAGAGCTATCTTACTTTTCAATGAGAAACATGCTTGAAATAAAGTGCAATGATGCCATCATTATGTTTTTAAGCCAAGGTTTATTATGTAAATGTGTTGATGTCATGCTGTGTGGATGGTTTTCATGGACACCTCTGGTTAAGCTAAGTTTTACTGAATCCTGTTCACCACTGACTACTTCATGAACTTAAATTTAAAGGCAATGAAAACTGTAGGTAAAGGTTGATGTTAATGTTAAGTGGTTGGCTGGTTTTTTTCTCATCTGTTCCTCACGTTCTAACCTATTATTAAAACACAAACTGGGTACATTATAGGCACAGAGAGATGCACCACACAAATCTCGTGGTTTGGGCAAAGGCTGAGATATTGGCCAAACGCTCAGAACAAAGCAGGTGGTTGACTTAGGAAGTCAATTATGAGTATCTGAATTGAAGTGTGATCCACAAGATAGTGGAGCAGCGTCAGGAGCTACGTTCACATGGTTGACGGTGAGGAAAGCGGGTCCATATACCACCGCCATTCGATGTGTTTGTATTCGTCAGCCGATGTGTAAGATAAGTTTGAAATCACGGTTTTCTAGGTCCACTAGTTTGACGAGCATGTCAACCTCTGTGCTTGTCAGGCACCCTCACGTCTCGTGAAGACGGTGATTAGGTGTTACGTGGCAGCGACTGTCCTCATATATGTCTACTGGAAAATGTTTCAGGTCATGTCGTTCTGACTGAGTAGTTATTACCATTTTATTAGGATTTCTTTGTGTCTTCTATTGATTAATTACCGTGATGAGTATACACTACGAAGATTTATTTGTTTTCTACGGACCACACAATGTGTTAGGTGTGCAGTGCAAGGGGTTTATGTATATCATATGTGTTTCACATTGGGTCTCTTTACCTCATTGTTTTCTCTCTTCTCGTGCTTTTTAGATCGACAGTACATTATTAAACATTCACCTCGGTTGATTGATGAAATGATCAATAGTTTGTTATATGTATTGGCTGTAGCAATGGATGAAGGTTTGTTAACTTCTAACACTATTTCTTTTTCATGTCAGTGTTACTAGAACATCTTGCCCTTTAACATATTTGCTCTTTTAGTGGTGTGATTTATGCGCTTGCATTGGTGAATCTGACATCACTAAAGACTAGCAGTCTGATTTGCTAAATTTATTTTCTGGTTGGTTAAACGGAATAAAAAGCTAAAAACCACTGTGTGATATAAGACAACCCAATTATGTTAATAAGAAGACAATTGCAGCGAACCCAATTAGATGAATGTGTAATATTGAGTTATGTTACATGGAATTTACAAATTAATCTGCATTGTTATGATCAGTTCTAGTCATTTCATCAAGTATATCTTATTAATCTCAGTTGTTCCTACTGTTCCAGTTAAGAGGAAGCCGACTTGCTTCTACAGTTTTGTGTGAATAACACTTTAAATAGACCTCTTGTATCTGTATTGTATTAATATATAAAATGTCTATGAAAGCGTCATGAGAAATAGTGGACAGAAAGAAGTGCTCCTGCTTATTTGTAGAAGTTAATGTGGTGGTTGTAAAGTGACCCTGCATGTGGTTAGCATATCATTGAGCATGCAGTGGTGGCATTGCATCTAAGCTACATCGCACATGATCGTATTTGCCGTCAGAGTGCAAACATTTTCTGTAATTTTGTAACTATGGTGTTAACAAATTCCACTTTTCATTCACACATTTCCTTTCAATAATTTAAACAAAACAATAAGGATATTTGGAACAAGATAATATGGCTCCATTTTATTTCATCGGCATTCCTTTCAACTGCGTATAACGGGGATGATAAAAGTACATCATTTTGGCTACAATTTTAACATATTTTACTTCTGTTCGAGTGACAATTGTTGAATAACAATTCATAATAATTATAGTGTATAGATACATATAAATGTTGAATAACAGGAAATATAATAAATTACTAGATTTGTACTGCATTTGGTTTCCCGATTAAGTTAAGGATGGTGATGATTTATTGAGACATAAAATGTGGTAATACGCAAACAGTTAGAAAATGTTGACAAAAAAAATGGATGTATATATATATATATATATAAGAGAGAGAGAGAGAGAGAGAGAAAGAGAGAGAGAGAGTAATTCCATATTAGTTTTTTTATTAGTTATATCACACATTGAAACATTATTATTTACTGGATGACGTTTTGAACAAATTTTATTGTTTGCAGGGATTTGATTGATTTTAAGCTTAATCTCAGATTGATATCAGCTAGAGAACTATCGAAAATCAGGATGTACTGGGCATCTATTTCTTCCTAGCTTGACTCTTCACCAGCATGTATCCACAATACCACCAGCTATCGAACTCAGAACCTTCAGGTTGCAAGGCCAAACTCCTTAACCATTCAACCACTTGGGTAGGAATCCAGTGAATTCTGACTGCTGTCAGTTCATTATCTTAGCCTGAGTTAAACTTATATAGTTAGATATTGAATACAAGAAATGTAGGGTTTGGTAAATGATGAAGTAAATAAATAAGAATGAGGAAAAATCATCTACATTCAATTTGATATTTGTGTCAGAGATGATATAGTTTGGCAGTTACCAAACAACCACTTTAGTGTGTGCGCTGACATTTTGTCGTTACCAGCTTATTAGTTCTTTTACAGCTTCCTAATTAAATGAAGTGGCCTCTACTTTCAGTCATTTCACCAATTATATATAAACTAGGAATCTAAACAGACCAGTCCTCTATCATCATCTTACATTTTACATAGGCGAATCGCATACTAAACTTATTCAGACTGTCGTTTGGCGTGTTTAAATGACTGTACTTTTTGATCGCTGTCACATACAAGGACTATGTTGTGTGTGTATGTGTGGCTTAAATCAAAGAGATATATTCCTGGTACTAGTTATCATTGTTCACTTGTTACGACTTCTATTCGTTGTTACAGTAAAATACTTTTAAAACCTGATTAGTAATCGAATAACAACATAATCGTCTGTTCGTAATTTCTGTTTTGTGAGAGAAAAAATTATTCATTCAAACATCTATAAAAACAAAATAATTGAGCGAAGAATATTCTTTTCGATAACTTCTTCTTCTAGCTCTACAAATATATACATGTGTGTTTACATACATAGAATATTGTACAATAGTAGTCAGTAACAATATTAGTATTTTTTACATAATGTCAATTTGTTAAGTAAGATCATTGGAATTATAGTTCATTAAAGATAAATAATAATAATAATAATAAAAATATAATAACAAATAGAATATCAAATAAAATTAAGTAAATTTTTCGTTGGATTTCCGAGCATCACCCTGCATGGTTTATTAAAGGACAAACAAAATCCACTCACAGCGCTATTCTATCTCATCTTGTGGACACAGAACACAAGATTGATGTCAACAAGGCTTTCAAAGTCATTTACCGCATACCAACAAATCTTAACTAATGTCAGCTCATGATGAAATCCTGAAACCAATCAAATCCCTACAAACCAACACTTAAATACCAATAAGATGATCACTGGCGACTGGCCCTATTCAGGTAGGTAGTTCCGTGGGTTCCAGTGGGAAGTCGTGACCAGTAGGGTGCAGCGGGTCGGGTGAGAGGACAAATACTCGCCGAAGACATTGGCTAGCGGTCGCGCTATGCCGTGAATTGGCAGAAGTTAGAATTCAAGGACCATTGGATCGGTTCTCAGTGGCTTAATGGTATACGAGCTCGCCTTGTAACCGGAAGGTCCTGGGTTGGAATCGCGGTGGGTGGGCACTGCTGAAGAGTCCTAAACTAGGACGAAACAGCTGTCCAGTACTCCCAGGTTTTCCAATGGTTCTCTAACTAATATCAGCTCATGATGAAATCCTGAAATCTTAACTTCGCTTTAAGAGTTCGTTTACTACATATTGCTGAAGCCGTTTGGATCCACATTAAGAAATCTAATATGTGTCCAAAAGAAGCTAGTTCAGGCATTGTCCTTAACTTGGTCATCTAGGTTCGAATAATCCTCAATTTTTTGTAGGAATTTCCTTAATTTTAGTTGATATTCTATTTGCTATTCTATTTTTATTATTATTGTTTATGCATCTTTAATGAACTGTAATTTCAATGATCATACTTAGCAAATCGGCATTATTTACAAAAACACTAATATTGTTATTGACTACTATTCTAGAATATTCTACGTATATAAGCATATATATAATTGTAGAGCCAGAAGAGGAAATTATCGAAAAGGATATCTTTGCTCAATTATTTTGTTTTTTATAGAGAAAAAACTGTATTTCAGACCAACTTTTGTGATGTAATGTATACACAAACCTGAAACATGGCCAATACGCGTTTAAGACATGAAAAGGTTGACTGCTTTCGATCATAGATGTCTGCGATCGCTGTCTAACGTTAGGTGGTTTAATAAGGTAAGTAATGCTGACGTTATGCGTAGAGTGTTGGGCAAAGAGGGAAAATCAATCGACGAGGTTATAAAGTTACATAGATTGAGATGGTTAGGTCACGTGCTGCGCATGCCTAACCATCGCCTCCCCCGACGGGCATTACTAGCTGATATATGTGCAGGTTGGAAAAGAGTAAGTGGTGGCCAAATAAAAACATAGCATCAATCCATGAAATCCTTGACAGTTAAACTGAGCCAGGTAGGGAGATGCAGGCTCCCGAGTTGGAGGCCTCGGGACTCTAGGAATCAATGGCTGGAGACAATAGGTGACATGGCTCAAAATCGTTGTCAATGGGGCAGATGTATTCAGTCTCTGTAATCTTTCGTATTCCTTTCTACCATTACCCATTCTGTTTCACTCTTATACTTGTCAGACTCTATTGATTCTCTTCACTCATCTTCTTGTCTACCTCTGTGTGCTATTTGGAACGTGGCACCTCGAACTGCTGCACTTCGGTGCCAAGTTCTATGTTGAATCCAGACAGACAGACAATGTATACACTTAAAGGAGGATTCCTTCATTCATTTGTAGTTTTGCAAACACTTTACTAATTAATTTTTATAAATCTCAAATCAGCAAGCAGGTACTTGCCCATGAACTGAAGTATAAGGAGTGATGGTCCTGTATAACCTTCAAAAAAAAGAATGTTGAAAAGTTAAAATACATGATTTCGTTAAAAATCAAATACCCAGACCAGTTAGCTGTGGCTTCATTGTCTAAGCGCACGTGTAGATAGGTGCCTTGTTCACTTGACTTACAAACAATAAATTTGAAAGGTCAAAAACTTATATATTACTTCAGCTTGGGCAACTGGATATATTATCATGTGATTTCGCATACTATATGTTCCTCACGCTCTAGTTAAAGAAAACTGGATTGTCTTATTATTTTTCCACGATTACTGCTAACTTCACGAAGGTTTTATTTCCTTTTTTCTTGTCACTTAAATGCAGTTAACTCAAGACATAAAACTCCGCAACACCTGGCCACTATTGAAAATTGTATGCATTTTATACCCATGCTTGTTCAAGCGCTTACTGACAATGCCTCTCCACTCCTTCAACTGCCCCATATTACACAAACTCAATTAAGGCATATGGCTACTAAACAAGTGAGTTCACGAAATGTATTTGTTTGTCGATTCCTTCTACATCTTTAAATTTTTGTTATAGGAGATATAAAGTAATGCTCCTGCATAAAAGACTCCTTTGGTTCAGTTTTATTTGTTATTCCTTGTGTTGCTAGTTGAAAATAGGGCTTCAGGCTTTGAAGTTTCTGTAGTGGTGTTATTTGTACAGTTTGGATGTGCTAGCCCAACACCCAGTTGTACCCTGTTTCCGGGAATACTGGCTAGTAAACTAGGCGACGATTGAGAGAGCGTCTGCCGTCAATCGATCCCCCTACTGAGTGGGTGGTTGGCGAGCATTGTACGGTTTGACTAATGACACACATTTTTCATATCTTCAGTTCGATAATGTTGTTCGATTTGTCATAGCAAGTTTTAAAAAAATCAGTGTTCACTAAGTAACAAACCATCGACTTCCAGATTATCGAAACCACATTCATTAAAATTTTCACGTGAGTCATTTCATATGTAGGTTTGAATGAATTCACAATGGTTTATCAGACTCTCCTTTACCTCACTGAGCCAGAAATAATGCTGGTTTAGAGGAAAGGTTGGGCATGAGGCTAGCAACCCCATCCTGTAAAAATTAAACACTGCTACAGAAACTTCAAGCCACTAGCTTGGAGCCCTATGTTCCACTGGGAACTTGAAGGAAAAATTATATATTATATTTATCAGACTTAGTATAGAACCTGATGTTATCTGGCAGTTAGCTTGTAGTTAAATCGTTCATCCACTTTATATGGTTGTCTGACCAATAACTGATAGGTTACATTAATGTAGATTTACATTCTGCTCCATGTTTTAAGGTTTAGACACCTGGAGCAAATGTTGCCAGTCTTTATATATTGAATGTGACCCAGTGTACTACACATTGTTACACTATGTTCCTGAATAAGTAACCAGTGGAATGAATTAAAACAACAGCTGAACAGCTGTTTCTTTCGCAATCACAACGATCGATGTCTACCCGTGATGAAAGGGAAATGCGAAACCAAAGGGGGATATGTGGTATTAGTACTGTAGAAATTATTCAATTTTTTAAAAATTTCTCCATACCAAAGGTTTTCCTATCATTCCCATCAATTGTCTCTGCACAGAAAGTAGTGTACCAGTAAAGTCTAATTTCTGTACAGCATAGTTAATGTAACTGTCACAACGTACTGCTAAGAATGTATAGTCTGAAATATCTTTGAATGAACACTTGAGGAATTGAATAGCGATGAAATGTTACAACCGCTTGCAGTACCATGTGGTCAGCAATGAGTCACACCTATTGTGTGAGGGCTAGTGATACTATGTAGGTGCCCAAATCTCGGTAGGTGAAGTGGGTTCCTAACCTGTGATCCACTGGCTGGAAATCTGGCGACTAAACCATTGAAACACCTTTCTAGCTTAAGTGAATACTGTTTGTTTTTCTGTATTGTTGAAACGGTTTGAAAGACGACTCTTACCGATACAAATTATTGTCGGATTCTTCGTCCTTTTCTCTTTATTTCCTATTTTTAATATATTTTTTCTAAAAAATATTCTTTCATACGTGTATGCTTGCACTTAAGCTGATGGACACTCCTACCTACAGAAGTTTAGAAACTATTGTTTGTAATAGTAAAAATAATAATAATAATTGCAGCACTGCAAATCTCTATTTTCTCATTATTTCTAAGCGGAATATAAAATCAATTCGTCAGTTAGTCAGTTTACCAGAAGATAAGCGTAGAGCACTTTTACGAAGTCTTTCCGATGAACAGTATCGTGATATTCTAGTTGTTTGTTCGTCAATGCCTTCTTTGGATGTATCTTATCGATGTGAAGTAAGTTAATATTTGGGGAGATATTTTTGCTAGTTTTCATTGGAGATCTTCACATTTTAAAAGAAATACTTTTACCCTTAATTAGGCATATTTAGCCATCGTTAAATTCCCAATAACATATTTATATTTGTATAACAAGGATTTATTCAACGAGGGAATCTTTCCTTTCAATGACTTCATTATCATACTGTGCAGTTGTACTTATAATGTGTAAAACTGCGGATCGGTTAGCTTCACTGATACACACGGTAGCATTTACAGCTAATTATTTGCAGCTTAGCGTTGACATGTATGGAATACGGAAAGGGTTATTAAAAACGGTTTGCTATTTTATGGTCAAATCCTGTCAAGAAGGTGGAAATACAAATAAAAATTTTCAAGAGTTGGTTTGTAAGGGTTAGTTGTGTTTTTACGAGTATGACTATGGATTGATATCAGTTAGAGAACCATTTAAAACCAGTAAGTACTGGATGGCTGTTTCATTTTACTTTGGGAATCATCGGCAGTACGCACCCACTGGGGTTCGAACGCAGGACCTTCCCGTTACCAGGCAAGCTGAAATCAATCCGTGGTCATACTCGTAAGAAATAATAATAATCAGGAATAAACGGAACAAACATAACCAGTAAAATATTATTATCATTATGGCTAATGACTGAAAGGTTTCCACATAGAACTTTGCAGAGATGTACAGCAGTTCGAGTTCCCACACTTCATGTAGCACACAAAGCAAGAGAAGACGGTAAGAGGAGACTCAAAAGTCAGATAATAAGCAGAAGTGTGAGGGGGAAAACAATAGAGTTTTATTGGATATGATTAATCACGAGAAGCGAATGCATTTGCGCCAGCCATTGAGAACGATTTTTGGCTAGCCATATCACCGATTGTCTCCAGTCTTCATTGGTTTATACCGTCCCGAAGACCCTACCCAGACAGAAGTCTACACCTCCCTCTGTGGCTGGCTCAAACTAACTGTTGTGGATTTCATTGACTGATGAAGCCATGTTTTGGTTTGACCCCACCACTAGCTCTTTTCCAACCTGATCCATCCTATGTCAGTCAGCCAACATTGCTCGTCGGTCGAGGAAGGCGATGGTTAGAGATGCATTCGTAACACATGTGCTAACCACCTCAATCAGTGTGGCTTCACAATATTGTGGATTGATTCCCCCTCGTCGCCTGGCACTCGACTGAAGCCTAACCTCAATATTGCTCACTGTGTTATACCACCATCTAACACGGGAGATCGGACGCAGATCGAACACCTATGTTCAAAGACAGCTAGCCTTTTCTTATCTTCCATTGGAAATCAACAGTCATAAAGGAGGATGGAACGAAATGGTGAGCAGTACGCATGGCCTTTGGTCGACAGCCAGCCGGATATCGCGTCTACTAAGCCAGAGATGGCGTAAGTTGGCGTATTCCAAACGAGCCTCCTGTATCCGTGTTGAGACTTCATCAGCGATCAACTCGCTGGCGTTGGTTGATGCAACTTCTCAAATAAGTGAGGTTGTCGACACGCTCCACTAACCACTTCACTCTCTACTTTTAAGCTGAGAGTCAATGTAGTCTAGTCCACTCCTGCAGAATTATCTTACCTTTGACAGGAGCGAATCGCATGCCAAACATTCGACGATCGCAGCTCAAGGTGTTCAGAAGACTCTGCATTTTGTCAGTGTCTTCACCTAGAAGGACTGTATCATCCTTATATTCTAAACCAACGAGATTATTCTCTGGGGGCGAACCAGACTAAAATTTTGGGATAAACACTTTACACTAACATCAATCTATCGGAGAAGGATTTGCATAGCCTAGTAAAAAATTATGACTAAAGGAGGTCACATATAACGAGACACTCCATTTGCATCAATGACAACTTCGACCATTACACATTAAAACTTAGAGGGAGAAATATGATTTTATGAAATATTCTCATGTGCGGCATAATTCCATCTTTGGAACGGTTTTCCATGCGATATATTCACTGAAATATCAAATTTCTCAATACACAGTTGTTGACAACATTTTGGAACAGAGATTTGTACGTCAAGGACTAGAATGCCATTCCACTGTTAAATTTAGAGCTGGGTGATTTAGGCTATTTGTAAAGCTTTCACTGCCGTCCTAGACAATGTCATCAACAGTCAATTCAAAGAGGTGAAACACTGGAATTTTCTGAAAATGAAAGCTCTGCAACTAAACCAACCAGCTCAGAGAACTCTACTAATTGCAAATAACCAACTTTCCCAGTTACATTCATTGTGATTGGCTACCCTCTGAAGCTCTATCTCCAATGTTCCCTATCGGTCATTTTGTTATATATACCGACATCACATGATTGTATTTAAAAAAACATTTTATATAGGGTGATTGGAAAAGTAAAGAAGCTTTATTTGTATAATTTATAAGAAATAAATAACTTACTGGAGGTAGTTCAATATTATCACTCGGTCGACAGGCTATTTCTTTATTAAAATTTGGATTGAACTCACACGCATTCGACAGAACTTTAATTATCCTAGGCGTAGCCATATAAGGTGAACGCATGAATGTTCCACAAAAGTACCTTATTGTATCTAAGAGAACGTTGTTATTGCTAAATCTCATTGTGTTATACCACCAAGTACCCTAAACGAATATAAACGACGACAAAAAAAGGATACAAAAAACAGTTGATTAAGTAGAAAATGTCTGGCATGAGAAATGAATATAAGTAATTAGGGTATTTGTATAGATTACTACGTTATAATTTAAAGTTCATCTGTGAGAGAGCTCAAAATTATAATAATAGTGTGCTAAAATTAAAATCGATGACACACGAGGAGATATGGAAGTTCATTTGTCTACACTTTTCTAACAATTCTTATTTTACACGCGCAGAACAACTTGGAAATAAATATTACAAAAGAGCTGATTAATAAACACTGAAGTTATTTTAAATTCCTGAAAAGTTACCAGAAAATAAGTAGACATTAGTAGTTGAAGTTACAGACATACAACGCCGATTGCATTAGGGTTTACGTCGTTACACATTACACTTGAGCGGAAGTTAACAAAACTGGAGGTGACAAAACACAGAAATAGTGATATGAGTAAAGTTTGGGACGTAACTGCTTTACTGCCAACAGTTTTTTATGTTCGTTCATTTGTAAGCATAACCGTGCGCGAACCAGAGCTTGATCGTAACTATTATTTTTATTGTTTCTTACATCGGGATTTGACTGTTAAAGTTATCCTTAAGGATAACTTTAGAAGTTAAATAAAGATGTACTCAATAACCTGACTCGACAAGGTATTCGCAAATGGAAGATATCATTTTATGTGCACTTTTTGTCAGTGAAACCGGGTAATGTACGACAAGCTTTTTCGAAGTACTCGTCTACAACGTCAAATTTATTCAGTTCCAGAAAAGCATTTGAAACAGTTCCCAAATAGCTCAGAGGTATCATGTAAAACTACGGCACTAGGTGGCGAGGGTTCGATTCGCTTCCAATAGAAGTGTGTAATAAAGTAATATTATAATTATAGTGATATCATGGTCAATTGTTTTCTTGTTTTTCAGGGTTGTTGTTGATTGATTTTTTTTCTATTTTTTTACAGGTTTTGGATGACGATGATCCGAGCATTTGGCCATTCAGTATGGTCACAGTAACTGTCCTGCTTAAACGTACTCCACTTTTAGATCCGAATGCAGTGAATAATGCCAGTGTCAATGGGAATGGCACATCGTTATCAGATATAGGCTATTTCGATGGTGGACAGACAATGCGATTAGATTGGAATGCTTATAGTGATTCATCTAACTCGAAATTCTATCCCATAGCAGATGTACACGGTACAGAATCTACGAAACCATTGAATTATGATGACTCCCTTGGTGACGAAGACAAAGGAGTGAGTTTGGAGGTTTGATTTAGTCGTATTTAGCCTTGTAAGAAGGAAAGAGTATATTGGGCAATAGAGCACACACGTATTGTAATGATTCCCATATCAGTCTAATTGTTAGTCACGGGGCATTACACAGAAAGATGTTCGATTATTAGTGGTTAACTATGGAAACGACCATCCGTCATGCCCTAACATATATGACTTTTACACATTATTTCATCAGCCATTGTGGAAAGACTTCAGATAAAAGTCTCGCATAAACTCTGTTACTTATATCATTCAGAAAATACCATCGAAGTAGCTTTCAGAATGTTTCAACCCTAAACAAATGCCAGTTTTACAGTCTCCAGATTTTGAATTTACCCAGTGAGATTTTCATTGTTTAATGTCTACACACAATAGTTTTGTTCTTGTAATAGAGTTTCTTAGCTGTTTACAGAATTCTGCTATTCATTATTTCTGACTGAATTTACTTACTACAGCTAGTCACATATTAGATTTTTAATCGTGTCTGACAAAGTGATCCTTGATATTGCAATGAAAGGTAAATGTGAGTACGTGAAGACCAACTACTTAACGGAATTCGGTGAAAATACTCAAAACTTCACTGATAATAAATCGTGCATTTCACCTAAAATCACACTTAACTCGTTTTCAACTTAACTTTGCTTCGACTAACACTGCTCATCGTGGAAAGCTGTAGATGGCCATGCATTCTACACGATTTTCTTTCCTATTCTTTTAATAGCTAAGTGTATGTCAATGATAGGAAGACTTTTATCTTATAGCCTTTTGTCATCACCCTCTGTCAACCGATCTCTATCCTCTTAACAACTATGCTCTTCAAACATCGAGGTTATATCTATCATTACATTTATGATAAAATACAGATTAAATTTTGACTTCAAACGCTGATTGTCATTACTCCAGAGATGATTTGCAGTAAACCCTTTCGCGATTCTATGTGTTCAAGTACAGTGTCTTGACCAAATTCTTTTAGAAGGTCTTTTGATAGATGTTTCGACGGCCATTGTTGTTATTTCGTCAGCATGCGACTCTGTCAATGTTCCAGTCTGCTTCTCCAACTGGCTCAACTGCGTACACTGAACAGTAAAGTAACCTACTAGTAGTATAGTTAATTCTAAGTGTTTCACTTGACCGGTTAGCTTCAAGATTTCAATGGGAAATTCATCTTTTAATTCTTATGAACTGCACTGAGTTTGTGCATAGATAGAAGTCATGTACGTCACTCGGTAACTATCACAGTCTCTCTTTGGTCTTACAAATCCGTTTGGCCTAACAATATACAGTTCACTTGGTTCCAGTTAAAAGTTAGCTTTTAAGTTAGTTTAGTGATTTCACTATATCTGCAAGTGTGATAGTGTGATTTCCACATACTCGTGTTAGCCAAGTAAACTTAAGAGAATGCTCGTATCTATACTATAATTTTATTTCACATGTGAAGTATCCTCTCCTATTTGGTGTAGAATTCAGACATCGAAAGCCTGAATAATAAGGAGTTAACAGAATAATTTTTGGAGACTGGTATTCTTTCATAAAGAAAAGGATTGGTGAAGGAATTATTATTATTACTGTTTACAAGTAACTCTGAATAATGAGTCATTTACAAGGTGAACAAAAATCTACCAAACACAGTCAGTTCTCGACTTCGTTGTACTGTAAATATCCCTCGCCATATATGTATCGAGATGCCAGGAAATAACTAGTTTTTAACCTCTACCTTTACGATGAACATATTTCTGTTTAGCTTCTTAGTTTTCTTCTTTTTACCTTTAGCTATAAAAACCATTATTATTTCTATTTGTTTCTGTGCATATCCAGTTCACATCACTATGTCCTTTACGTTCTTTAGTCAAACCTTCAGTCTCGCTCCTTTACTATGTTGGATTAGACAATAATTATCATTATGTAAGCTTATGCATAAAAATGCGATTTTACAGCTGCTTCTGAGGATGAAGTCGCTTAAAAGGTGTCTTTATTGATATACTGATTCTCTCCTCTGTAATGCCTTTAAGGATATTTTCTGTGGTCTCTTCTTACTCTCCTTTCTTTCTTTCTCTCTCTCTAACTTAAACCGATTCACTTCCATACAATGTTCTTTATTGAAACTCATTTAGACAAACTACAACCTCGTGAAGTGTTATGCTTTAACACTGAAAATTTAACGAAAAACGGAATTATTGGAGTGGTTAGGCTGTCTCATACAACGTTTTCTATCCCTTGTTCACATTTTGAGCTTGTTCTCAGTCTCAGTGTTCACCCACATACTTTAATGAAACAACCTATAATTTGATGAATAATATTTTGCTATAATTATCTTCCTTATTTCCTCTCATTGTTATCATTATAATATAATGATAATTCAGTTTGAAGTCACCAATCAAGATAAGACAAAAAAATCTGGACCACCTGTGTGGGATAAAAATAAGCGGAAAAAAGGTATACGTAAGAATAAATCACGCAAACAAGATAACTCAAAACGTCATCAACGAAATTCTCTATTAGAAGCTGAAAAGTTAACTCAATTTGATGTAGCCCCTGAAGATATCGATTCAGAACAAGAAGATAGTGATGCTATTGGTGTATCTGAAAGTAAGCAGACAGTTCCTTATCACAAATGTTATTATTATTATTTTTATCCCACTACAAGTTTTCAGCATTCCTTCTCTTATTTGATGAGGTTTCAACGGCTCACTGATGTAACTGAAGAGCTACTTGTCTATATAGTTGTGTTTCTTAGTATGATCGTCTGAAATTGAATATAAATTTCAGAACACTGAAACGCTGGTTGTGTTAAAATTCAATTACTTGAAAAAGATTATCCATGAACTAATTTTTTATGAACCGCGTTTTTATTTGAAGACGAACTATACTGCTGATCCTCTCAAACTAAAGTAGGTTTAGGCGAACTGGAGACCAGGACTGATTGATCGAAAGTCGACTGCTTAAAGCATTGAGCCACATCTCCAGTATGTTCAGTTTGTTTTACTTCAAAACATTTTATAGAAATGTTAGAAAAAAAGGAATAGGCTAAGAATGAAGTAATAATGACGTGTACGCTTACAATAATGATGAAGAAGTAAGTGCATTCTCATCGCTTATGTTGACTTTCCATCATGTTAACGAAATTTACCAACTAGCTTAGGTCCGTGCGGTTTTACACGCGAATATGTGGAACCTTGGATTAATTATTTAGTAGATTCATTGTCTTAAAATTCCAAACTCAGACTACCTTTACAGTATTTTAATTTAAAAACTCAGCTTCCGGAACGGATCCTTCATTTTTAGACTGTGAACCACACAAATATTATACAGGTGAGCTGATGACACTATCCAGTTTCCCAGACTGAAGTAGGTGAAGCAAAATCCTAACGCCGGACCCATTGACTGGAAGTCGAGTGCTCAAGTCAACGAACCACCTCTTCATTTGTCTACTTTCAGCAAGTCTTTGTAAAGTTTCACTGGGACCCTTTTTATGGGCAATCGTGAAGCCAGCTAAAGAAAAGACGAAAGTACAGCGTAGATTGATGTGCTGCTAAAGCCCTGTGTTTCGTTTGGAACCCAAGGAAATGATAAGATTATCTCCACAGCAGAAAACTCAGTGAAGCCTTTGTAGTAAACTGGACTGTGCGTTTGGAGTGAGAAGACAGGAATACTTTGGACCGATAGGAAGACTCTAGAAGATCTGGACTTTGCAAATGATTTATGTTTAGTGTCTCAAACTCGAAAATTTCCAGGTGAAAACCAACAAACTGGCAGAAGTAACGAAGACAGGACTCCAGGTGAACATAGAGAAGATTGAGGTGGTTAAGATAATCAACCAACAGCAACAACAAATAACACCAATCACCATCAACGGGAAAGATTTGACAGAGGTCACTACCCCACTTTATCTAGGAAGAATTGTTTCAACCACGAAGACTTGCAAGCGAAAACTAACAAACTGTTTGAAGAGGCAGTGAAAACGGGACTGTAGGTGAACACAGAGAAGACGGAGGTGATGATAATAACCGATCAATAACAACAAAAACCAGCACCAATCACGATCAACGGGAGAGATTTGACAGAGGTTGCCTCCTTCACTTATCTGGGAAGCATGGCTCCAACTACGGCGAAACGGAAGATGTCAAAGTCAGAGTCGGAAAGGCGAAGTACCCCTTCATCAACCTGAAACCAGCTTGAAAATCTTCTGCACTCAGCTAAAATAAAGAACAAGATTCGAATTTTCAAAGTGTGAAGTCAGTCAGTTCTTCCATACGGGTCAGAGACTTGATACGTCACAAAAAGGATTTCCAACAAGCTACTGGAGACTTTTATCGACATCTCCCTTCGCTGTGTATTGAAGATCAAATGGCTGGCCAGAAAGAATTAGCAACTGGGAGCTCTGGCGACAAACCAACCAAGAGCCGCTCGCTCAACAAATATGTAGGCGAAAAATGCAGATGAGTTGGACATACGTTGAGGAGGCTGTCGAATGACATCAGGCACTAGCTAGGCCATCTCTCGAGTGGAATTCCATTGGGAAACAACAGTTTGGTCGTCGTTGGGAGGTTGACATGGAAGAGATTTTGTGAGGAGGAGTTCAGAGATAATGGTCATTTGTGGGCCCAAGTGAAGAGGACGGCAGAAAACAGAGCAAAGTGGATATATGTTGTTGAAGCCCTATATTCCACTCGGAAACCGAGGAAATAATAACAATAGAATAACAATAAATTGTGTTTTAAAACGCACCACTGTTCATGTTTATATGCGTAGACCTTTTTACGGGTACTTAATTTATAGCTCCACTGAACTTGCCCCAAATGATACTTTTTTAATATGTCACCGAGCTACTTTAGTATTTTCTGTTAGACATACACTGTTGCATAAGTTCACAAACTTCACTGAATCTAATCTGCTAATGTCTTTAAGTTATTGCATTTCTTGAGGAACGGTAAAATTAACATTTCATAAAAAGTATAAAAAGTACAAAACATGTCATACAATTTTTTAGACCACTTTGCTGCTTTCCAGTTAACTTTATACGTGTGTATTTCTCTCTCAGACTAGTCGAAACTTCCCATTTGATTGATAATGATTATTTCAATCCTCTTTATTTATTATCCGACAGAGACTCCACTTCTCAATAATACCTTATCTTTTTATTTTTCCTCAAAATTGCATCGTGTCTTTTATTACTCTATATTTTTCAGAAATACCGAACGATGTTGGTTTTACTAGTTCATCATCTTTTCAACCAGAGCATTCTATTAAAGAAATTAGTAAATCTGCCCACTCAACTCCTTTTGCTTCTGATGATGGGGACTGTGAATTATTAAGTCAAACTAAAACAGAAGCACTACCAGCAGATGGTTCTCTTAAAACATCTGTCCCACCCTCGGCAAATACAAATAAGACATCGCCAAGTAAACCATCTTTTAAACCAATCGGTAAATCGTCAAGTATGATGGATTCTAAGACTCATTGTACACATGTTGTACATTGTCCATATTTCCCAGTGGTAAGCTTAAACGCTATATATATATATATATATATATATATATATATATATATATATATGTATATATATATATATATATATATATATATATATATATAAGATTAAATGATTCTGTGCCTCGTTATATTACTGACTCAATTTCTGAACATTGTGCCGTGCATCTAATTCACTCCCCATTTACTGAAGTTAAGTCGAACAAGCAGTCTTATTGGTCCTCATTGCAGGGAGTGTGACTCATTACCAAATGAATTAATGTGCATTGGTTCTTTAATATGTCATATCAATCCAGGCTGTATACACGCTATATATACTCGTAACTACTTGTATATATTCTCTTGTTGGATATTGTTGAATATCGCTATTAAATTCATTGCTTTATCTGTAAATAATTTTAGGACTGATCATAGAGTGATAAGTTCGCATTCTCAGTTCAAACAGACTACTGTAGTCGGCTGGCTGGTTAACTGAGTGGACTCATTTGCTTCTAATGATAAACAAAAACTAACTTCACACACGATGAAACTATTTAGTGTTTACGATGAAAACCATCTTGAAATTTTAAGTTGATGTCTCACTGGTGTGTAATTATCTGGTCATTGCAGCTCATACATAGTACTAAATAAAATGTGTTACAGTTAAACGTTTTGCAACATTGGTGGGTGCACTATGCAGCACACTACACTAAGGTATATTGCACTCCTTTTTGGTGGCATTCGATGACAGCTATTATTTTTACTAAAACACAAACTTGGTACATTATAGACACAGAGAGATGCACCACACAAATCTCATGGTTTGGGCAAAGGCTGAGATATTGGCCAAACGCTCAGAACAAAGCAGGTGGTTGACTTAGGAAGTCAATTATGAGTATCTGAGTTGAAGTGTGATCCACAAGATAGTGGAGCAGCGTCAGGAGCTACGTTCACATGGTTGACGGTGAGGAAAGCGGGTCCATACGCCACCGCCATTCGATGTGTTTGTATTCGTCAGCCGATGTGTAAGATAAGTTTGAAATCACGGTTTTCTAGGTCCACTAGTTAGACGAGCATGTCGACAAAGGCTATGAACGCGTGGTCACATGAGAGGATTTCAAGAGGAAGACTGAAGTCTTCCCACCCTTGGCTTTATCAGGTCGTTTATGGGATCTTCTACCTCTAAATATATTGTCTGTCATACTATTCATCAACTGTTTGTTAATTCCAGTTGTTAAGCATGTCACTAAACTGTTTGATGGAATCGTCAAAACTCTGCGTTACAGACAGGCACATCTGACGACTACTCAAAGGGATACGCAAACGTTATACCCAATTGTCAGATTAATCTTAGAATGTTAATCTCATAATATAATTTGAATACATCTTCACTGTATTTAGCTAAAAGTTCTTTTGTGGTGCGTAATTTCCTTCTTTACCTTCGTATTTTTATTAAATATGTACTTTTTACGAACAGGAGAAATTCGAAGGTTGGTGGGTGTATCTTGCTGACAGGAAAACTCGCCAACTTATTACAAAGCCTATTTACATCGCTACATTACAAAATGAAGAAGAGGTGGGTTTCTTTTTGCACACAAATAACTTCAGTTCTTTTGTAACCTAAAAATCGTATTATTACTTGTTCATTTTCATTTTTCTATTCCTATTCGATTCCCCACTTTTCAAATTAAGAATCAACTGGCTGAGCTACTTAAAGATGTATCATGTAATTTTAAATTAATAGTGATAGATGAACTTCATGTATGTATATATGCATGTTAGTTACTCAACACTCAAAGGTGTAGACTTCCAGGCTGGGGTCCTCGGGACGGTAAAAATCTATGGTTGGAAACAATTGGTGACATGGCTCAAAATCGTTCTCAGTGGCTAACGCAAATGCATCCACTCCCTGTGACTTATGATCTTCAATGAAACTGTTTTGTATTTCTTTATTACTCCTTTGTCTCACACCTCTGCTCACTGTTTCTATTATGCTTTTCTTGTACTTTCTTCTCTTGCTTCGCGTGCTACACGGAATGTGGCGACTTGAACTTCCGCACATTTGTGCAAAGTTCTATGTCGAAAACAGACAGACAGACAACAACCTTGTTCAATTCTATACAGTTGGCAATGACTCACATTTATTATGGGAGTGTTTTAATACTGACTACTCTATTCTCGGTGGGTATAGCAGGATCTGAGATTCACTAGTTGGTGTTTAACACACCTATGCAGACCAATAATCCACAGCTCCTCATTTGGTTTCGCAACACTCGACACTAAAGCTTAATAATGCAGTTTCATTTATCATCTTGAGTAACTATCTTCAGCTTGGAACGATTGGCTGTTTCTTTGAGTTCCAGGGAAAAGACCAATACACAATTGAAATGAAACTCATTATCAGCGTAGGACTTAGCGAAAAAAGTGTGGCGATTAACATTGCTGTATTTTATAAATGCATACTTGCATTGAAACTGGGATAAGTGGAAATATCCAGGAGGAGGAGGAGCACCTTCAGAATCTGAAAGATCAGAAGGAATGAATATATCTACACTGTTGAGAAAGATTTTCAGCCATTTCACCGACAGCCAGTGGTACTTAACTTTCTAAAAAAGACTCATCGCGACAGTCTATACATCCCTGTCTAGCTCTAACCTACAGTCAAGGACTTCGTGAATTTCAATTATGTTTTGGTATGACCATGCCTAACTCTTACACCGGCTAGCATTTGTTGCTTAGAAAGGTGGTAGTTTTTCACAGGTGATAACTGTCTGTCTATCTGTTTTCAACATAAAACTTTACACCGATGTGCAACAGTGAAGTCGCCACACTCCATGTAGCACACGAAGAAAGTAGAAGAAATACAAAATAGAGACAGCAGACAGTGATATAAGACAAAAGGAATAGTAATAAAGAAGAACAATATAGTTTCATGGGGTATTATACTTCACAAGGAGTGAATGCATCTGCGCCAGCCTTTGAGAGCAATTTTGAACCACATCACCGATTGTCTCCAGTTTTCATTGGTTTTACCGTCTCGAAGACCCTACCCGGACAGAAGTCTACAACTCCTTCTGTGGCTGGCTTAAACTAACTGTTGTGGATTTCATTGACTGGTGCCATGTTTTGGTGGTAAAACATGTAGTTAGTTATCCCAATCGATGGGACTTTTTAGCTTCGTCGGTTGGCTTTCCCTTTCTACCGAACACTACATTTAGCCGTATTTTCTAGATCACACTGTACCACCTTGTACGAGGAATCGAACACAGACATCTGTGGTCGAAGACCGTTAATCTCTTCATCTTTTCCACCTCCAACAATCATTCCTTAGTCGTAAATGAAAGCAGAAGGAAATGCTGTATAGTGCTTTTCACAATACACAGTTGATTAAAAAATACATTTCATTTAACATGCTTCAAATAAGCTGGGATGTTTTTCAATGACTGCGCTGTTACTTCCTACTGATTGATCGTATAGAAACAGTATCCATGGTAATATGTATTTCTATATTTCACATACACTACTCCTTATTCATTTATTATGTCGGTTTTCTCTTACAGTTACAACTTAGATTTGTGGCACCACCTATTCCTGGTCAGTATTTGTACATCCTGTCAATACGTTCAGACAGCTATATGGATTGTGATTTCTCCGAATCTATTCGAGTAAGCTACACTATGATATATATATATATATATATATATATATTTCCTACGTTAATAAATCCACGAGTAACTTTCTAAAGTCTTAAGGTGGATTTTGTGTTTTCACCGTATTGGACAAGTGAGATCAAGAGGATAACCAAAAATGCGTCTTGTATGCATATCTCAGAGGTGCATGATGCACACTTAACCCAACATACTGAAGTAAGGTCTTATGTTCGAGGTTGAAGGGTTCATTTTATACAGTCGATAACCTGGTTTTAAGAGATAAGAGATGATGTTTTTGCGGTCTTAGTTCACTCGTTTTGATCCCAAAGTTGAAACAAAGGACTAGTACTGGTTAGGCTTCACGTAAACATTTCCCAGTGATATTTACTGAAAAACACTATGGTTACATAAAGCTGATCTCTTTGTCAATTCAATCGTGAACCTTAACACAAGAAGATAATTTTGAAATCCGACAGTAATCAAAGAATTCTGCATTCTTATAGTTGTGCAGAGGACTTTTTAAGTGTGGATACCTTCCGTAAGATGCTAATGCTTCACAATGGAAATATCACGCATTGATTTCATAGTGTTATCTAATTCATAAATGCATGTATTGTGTGTTGTAAATATCTGACAGCCGTGTGAAATCTTTTCAAAATTGAAGTACTTTCTACCTAACACTGATGTTTACCCAATAATCACTTTCGTAGTAATCTTCGAAAAGCAATAAGACTTAATATTCACATGCGTATAAATGCATCGCTTTTTTTACCTTGCTTTGCTTTCCAAATGGAGCATAGGGCTTGAAGCGTTGAACTTTCAGTGGAGTCGGTTTTGTTTTTATGGAGTGGAGTCTCTGGGCTCACGCTGAACCGTTCCTCTTTTTCAGACTCACTAGGAGCTAGTAGACCAGGCTAGGGTTACGAATGCATCGACCGGGAATCCAAACCCGGACTATGTGTATGGCTGAACAAGCATTGTATGGTTGAACCACCGACATGAGGTTGGGTTCTAGATAGGTGTTGTTTGTTTGAACTCACTTTGCCAGAACATATTTTTCACTTACTAGGTTATTAACCACACTAGTTGTATGATAGATGATGATAATATCCAGTTGGTCAGGTTGAAGTTGGTGAAGTGGGACTCAAAACCGCAACTTATTTGAATAAAAGTCATTTCATCAAATTAATAAGTTACGTCTTCATATACGCATATGTTAGTTTTCTTTATTTTAAAAGATAATACGCTGTAGGTTTTCATATCACGTTATGTTTATATTCACCACTGTTTCAAGCAACCTTCGGATTTCTTGTTTGTTATCGTTCCGAAATGACACTTAAGTCTTCTAGAACTAGACGTAGGTTTCATTTGTGTATGAGATTGCTGTCAGTATCGGGGATTTTAAGATTATCCTCCGTAACTAGCGCCTGCAAAGTCAAAAGTTCTAGTACTCTGCTACTTTTTCTACAACATACTACCTTTATAAAACTATCGAGAGAAATAACGATTCCGATAGTTATTATTCAACCACAAACTTCTCAGAATGATCCAATATGAGAAACCAAAGATGTGTCAACTTCTTTTGGAAATAGTCACTGGTTAATTTGTACTGCTTTTCTGTCTTAAGGTTGCTGATGTTAAATTTGATTGGTATTCTATAGAATATTCAGTCATCGATTTCTAACATTAAACATCGTTACACAGCATACATGTTTACTGTCGACATGGCTCAAACACAAGCAGTCAGTAGTATCTTTTGTATGTATTTGATTAGACGTAACTTGTATTCACCATATTGTACATACGTAGTTTTCACATTCACACAAATTGAATGATTTGACAGTTGCTCACGTCATTTATCACGGACTCAATTTGCTATAGTGAAAATGAATCGAATCTTAGACTATAAGTTTATAACAAAGGTCAGCTTATATAATGTTATACATTTCATTATTATTTATAGTTCACCGTTCGTCCATTACCTGAAAGGATTGTGCAAATTCTTAAAGAGCAAGAAGAAGCTGCTTCTGATGATGACAGTAGCGAATCGTCCAGTACTGATACTGAGGATAATGAAACAGATGATGAAGTGATGGACAACGAAGACGATCCTGATATTGAGGTATTATCTCCAGAGGAGTGTACCCAAGCCAGTAAGGATGTAGGAAACAAAACAACGAAAAATGACACAGATGTAACAGAACTTTTAGACAACGAAGAAGAGTATCATGATGAAGACATCGAGGATTCTACTCATCTACGCCAACAATAATGGTTGTTTGTTTGACTAAGTCCTTAATCATGCTTTTCTTTGTTTCTTATTGTGTTTATTTTTCATTAAACATTTATTGCATTCACATACTGGTTGTATTTGATGAAGAAATTGTATATCTTATGGATACATGTGTGTAACTGTATTTTGTCTTTACTGTTTGACTTCGGGTTTTAACAATGTGAAGAATGAATAACAGTGTAAGAGGAGATTATTTTAGATGACATCTGCATTACAATGTTATTTCATTCAATTTTATAGAGCATATATGATGAATTGAACTGAATTCATTTCGTCGGCTATAAATATTCCTCATGCGGACTAAGTTCAAGATTTGTGCACAATTTGTGGGTTTCAGATGTTATTCTCAACTACAAATTATTTAGTAATAGGGGGTGACACAATTGATATAATTACTCGGAAGTGGCTTTAAAAGTGAAACTTAAAAGTAGTAAACTACGTAGTACTCAACGGCACAAAGATGAAAATTTGATAAGGTCAAAATTTTCTTCATAGCAATTTTAACCTTATCAAAGTTCTCTCTTTGTGCCGTTGAGTACCACGTAATTTACAAATTTACAATTTATTTGTTACAGTTAGATAAGGGTGTGTGGATTAATGTAGAATTCGTGACGAACCAAAGTCACATAGAGATTTATTGAAAACCGAGACACACTAGACAGCTATAAACAGCTGGAGTATAATTGTAGAACATTTAAGGATATACCGCAAACCAAGACTACCACGTACTGGATAGCAGTCATTGTTAAAGAGATGAACTTTGTGGACTCTTTTCTTCGCCTTTGAACGGTACTCTGATGAACACATTTCTGCATTAGTCTTTCTTTTTATTCGAAATATTCTCCCATAAACTTCTTGACATAACCGTGAGCGTTTCGAGAATCTTCCCCAATTTATTATGGACCATATATTTAGAAAATAATTTAGCTATCTGTAAAAACAAAATCTCGACTGAACTTATTTTTTATGAAATGGAGAAAATGTTACTACCGTCCAATTAGGCTTATGTTAAGTGCTATAAGAGATCAAGCTGTCTTCCTATCCAGCAATTTATGTAGTAGGGATGGTCCTATGCTTTTGCGTAGACAGTCAGTTTACATGTTTAATAATAAATGAGGAAATAAATACATTAACACGAAGTAGAAGTAGAGGGGAAATACAACAGAGAAACGGGTATAAACCAGAGGAGAATAACTGAGTGAAACTTAGTGACAGCTTTCTAATACTATAAGTATCTATTTAGTCTCTGCTGTTTTAATTAAAATTGGACCATTTTCACATGAGTCTTCAAAAATTCTATTCCAACCGGATACCATACGCTTCTCCGAATTGCTAAGATTAGTTATTAATCTTAGCTATTCCGAAGCTCACTCCTCTTTTGGATAAAACCATTCGTTGATGAACGCAGTGTATTGGCATAAATAGACTGTCCGAACCACCACAGTCCATGAAATTTCACATCCTCATTCACTAACTTATTTTTTCTAAATCTAGAGCTGCAATTCATTTGGAAATAATACGCTTAATTGTACCATACTCAACTGTTAAGAATGCGTTTAACTTCGTAAGCATACAATCTCCAGCATCGATATTTCTTACTTGTAATGCAAGACATGATGAACTCTGGTAGCTATTGGCTCTTTTCAGCAGTCTAACTGGCAGCGTTTTGATGCGACTTTCCGCTTATTTAGTCAGTATTACTATGATACTCTGAAGGATTTTTCTGAGATTCATATTTGAGGTAGTTTTACTTCCTGTTGTTAGATAAATGCTTTACTTTATTATCCTCTTTTCAAGTGTGACTTCAAACAATGTATGACATCTCTCATTAATATAAGAACAGAACTTGTGCACTGTAGTACAGCATAATTCTATTGTGGATAAAATTAATTTTGATAAGGTCTCACAGTGTCATACAGTAATATTTACTGTTCACAATCATATCAAGGCAATACTTACAACTTTCCAACTTCGTTTATATGGTTCCACTATTTCTCATCTCTTGATTTGATTGGTAGTAGTATTTCCTATATCTCTGGTATTGGCGATGAGTCATTCCTATTGCATGTTTTAGATGTAGAATCTATCAACAAAGATTAAGTAATCAACCTCTCTCTCCACCTACCTATATTACTTTTTAGAATTTTAACCCTATTGTGTGTTAATGCATGTAGTGCAATTGCCGAGCTTTTTTCTAAATTACTTATATTCTCGGAGTCAACCATTCTTACCTTAGCTAAATTCTTTTCTTCCGACAATCTGACTACCCCCGACCTACTAGTTTGACCTACGTAGTTAACTTAACTCAGTAATTGCAAGGTATTTTTTAAATTATATTATTTTGTCTAATCGGGTTAGCCTACAGAGCTTGTCCCTGAGTGAGTTTATGTGTTGAAATGCCACCTTCATTCCTACTTTATATGGCATTTGAGGCGCTCAAAACATACAGTGTAATACTCATAATGTATGCTTTTGTTTGTTTATGTATGGCCAATTGCCATAGTTACTTGTGAAGAAAACTATTGTCTCAGACTACAGAACTCAGGGGTTTCTTTTATGATTGGTAGAATATATATATTATTGCAAAACGTTTGTTTCTTGTCATGCTCTGACAAGATATGCCACAGTTAATAAATTTGAAAGGTTATTTGAAGTGGCTGAATCATACCACGCTTTAAGTTCCTCCAACTTTTTTATTTCTGAATTCGCGAACTCACACCGTACACCTATTAATACGTCGGTGTACAACAGTAGATAAGTGATGACTTAAGAACTGTTGACATTAGCTGATTAACTAGAAATCAAATACCCAATACCGACCTATGTGCTACACACTGTGCATGAGTGCATGACATTATTCACCTTTAAAGGCTATTAAACAGGTAGGAAGAGATCTCCGGACCCATTGACTGGAAAACAGCCACATCATTTCTGCTGACATTATTAAGATATTAGATTCTGGGGGCTTAGTGGATAACCGTTTCCATTGTTCTGATTGAGGCTGAGTTCGCGTTTCAGTGGGAACGTGATAACTGTTCAGAACCTGAACAGTAAAATATATTCAGCCAGTGAAAACTAGATGATATACAGTTAATTCACCCTAACTTTCAGTAGATTCGCAATTGTGTTATGAGAGTGATTGTTCATAACGTAATCCAGAAGTGAAACACATCACCTTTCCAATGAATTACTTTTTAACTGATTAAAAATGCCCATTAAAATTTTCAAAAGAATGGATACTGAACAAAGAATAATCTTTCCGATAACTTCATCATCAGGCTCTACAGTTATATATACATTATTGTGAATGAATGAATTAGTGTTACGAATAACATTAATGTTTAAATGACATCGATTCAATAATATTGATAGATTACAGCTCAATAGCATCAACATAATATAAGCTGAATGTCAGAAAAAATTAGGAACAATAATAATTCAAATTCATGAATTTATAGTCTCTACTGAAGGCTGGTCAGTAGTAGTGGCTGAACTTGCTTCTTTTGAACACAGAGCACTGGTTGTTTGAGGTGAACTGCAATAGCCTCTGCTGTTTAGAGCATGCGGTTCTTCGATGGTTTTGGCAATTTATTAGGCACCCGGTAGAATATAGAGAAGGATTCTTCCACGCTGGCTTTGTGGCCGGTTTGGACCAGGTGGTCCAATATCGAACCATTAGTGGTTTTCACTACACCTTTACTTATCCATAGTGGGATATGTTCTCGGGCACGAGAAATGAAGTCCCTAGAGCAACGGCCAATATAACTCGCTCCACAAACTCAGTTGAATTGGTAGATACAATTTGAAGTGGCTAGTCTAGGAACTTCATCTTTCAGTCGAGGAATCACCATCGGTCGTGTAGGGAATAAAACGTACAGCTCGCCAGCATTAAAAGTCCTTTGGACTGATTTTCTTAATTGCAGTTGTATATAAAGAGGCTTCTTGTTTACAGATAGTGAGTAGTCCTCTTCCGCTTTCTTTGTTTAAAGATAAATTCTTCGGGATAGCTATTTTCGATCAAAGTATCATATATATTGCTTAATTCATCTTCAATTACTTCTCCTGAGCATATAGCTCTAACTCTGTGGCTGAGGGTCTTCACTAAATTTCTTTTGTACTTGAAATTTCTTTTTATGCTACCATCTGGTTTTCTTGTAAGGGGGATATCCAGGAAGGCGATTCTGTTTTGGGATTCCTCTTCGCACGTGGATTTCATAGCCGAATGTACTTCATTGAATTCAGTAATTATTGTATTCCTATCCGAATCATTATCACAAAGAATGAAGGTGTCATCCATATACCGGCAATAAAATGAGAACTTACTGATAAGGTTGTTCAAAGATCCAATTTCTAGCTTACTTAGAAAGAAATCAGCCAAAATGGGACCCAAAGGGGAGCCCGTCCACTTTCCTGTAAAGTGTGCCGTCAAATTTGAAATTTACATTCATGGTACACCTTAATAACAATTCTTTTAGGATTTTAATACGGATGCTTATGTTAATCGACTGGTTATCCACTCGTTCGCATATGTAGTTAACTGTTTCTACTAGAGGTACATTTGTGAATAAATATGTTATGTCCAGAGATATCATAGTTTTGTCGATATTAATATCTTCGATTTTGTCTACTTTACTTTTTGACGACTGACTGAAACACAAGAAAGATGTTCGTAACCCTCGATGACTGAAACAAGTTTAAAACTTCATCACCAATCGTAACTCAGTTGATACATAGTAACCGAGATTTTTATAGATTCAATGCAATGAATAACATCTTCAAGTACATAATTAGTGTTACTGGTGTAACGATAGAAGATGAAAGACTTCTTAAAGTTAGAAATGCTTAATTCCAATTGAGTATCTCTGTATAGCCAAATTATCTACACTTTCTTCAACGCAAGTTGCAAGTTGAAGCATGGAGTGGCAATCAATCCTCTACCTCAACTTTATAGACTTTGAGAAGGCCTTCGACAGCGTTGA